CCACGCCACCGCCGTCATCCTCCTCATTCGCCGATCCTTCAGCCCACGCCAAGCACTTCATTTCGGCATCTCGCACGGATCCCTCATTTCGAGGGGCCCAAGCGAAAGCGACATGAATGGCTGGCGTCTATAAAGACTCGTCGAGATGACGGCCGGATCGTTCTTCACGACCACCACCATCCCGTCGTATCTTTCACTGCGTTCACACTCTCCTCTGGTCTGGCCATCGGCAAGCATGTCCACAATGTGCATCAGCAATGCTGACTGCTGGCCCTCACGAGCTGGCAGGCAGTCTTGCGGAAGGAGAACTGCGTCAAGACGCTGCTCAATCCCTTCATCGTTGTCGTCACCCCAGCGAAGCTCAGCCTGCAAGCAAGCGAGCTCAACACCAAAGCTATCCCAACGATGGTCATTCAAGAGAACATACGACGTCATCACCTCCGATGACGCCGCACGAGTTGACCGTCACCATCACTCCAATCAAGCGCCTTCCACACCCAGCTCTCGACGGGCGAACCGGAGGTGGTGAAGATGAAGAAGATTGCTTGAATCAAGCGATGTTGAACAATCCAAACTCAACTGCAGACTTGCGTCTGCCGTTTTCATGATCAGGACCAGTATAGGGCACATTTCGACAATGCATTGCAGAGCCGGTCTGTCCAAGTCTTTGCCTGTTCTCTATGCGCGTAGCCCTCAACTTCTACCTCGCCCGCGATGAAAGCGGTGCGTCTCTGTGCTCCGAGGGCTATGCTTCCAAGTTTGACCGACGGAAATGCGTCTTGTCGGCGCATGCATCCGGTGCGCCCCGAGGCGCATCAACGACTTCTGCAGCGCCGGTGGTGACGTCTCTGACGCGTTGAGGGAGGCACAGCCGCCACTTGTACAACAGCACATACAAGTCAAGGGGGTTGTGGGAGCGATGTTCTCGACGTGGACGGATGATTCATGGCTGTGCAAGAAGAGTGGACATGCGGTCACAGCATGAAATACTATCGAAGGCAGACAGCGATGGCGAGAGTCACAGGCAGACCTCGCCAGGCTATTCACCGGCTCATGGAGTGCTTGATGTGTACGCGAAGTCTACCTTTGTGTGGTTCAGTCGGCATAGCGCGACGTTACCATTATGCCTGAGCGAAGCGTTCAAACGAGAGCGACAACAATCGGTTTCAGGGAAGGCATGGATATCTCTTCAATGACACATTCGGACATCCAGTGGTCTGCGTTTGAGAGGTGGAAAGTCTCGACTATTCGTCTGTGTGCGTGATGACACCACCAGACACAATCAGATGCGGCAGATCTTTGACTTTCATCGAGCACGAATGGAAAGCACTCAAGCATCCGGGCACGTGCACGCCGTGAATCTTCGGTCGTGCTTGTTGCAATCAGGGAGGTGAAGAAGTTAAGTGGGATTCGCAGGATCAAGCCGCTCAGAGCGGATCGCGTTCGTACCCCTTCACTGGTAAAGGTACTGTGGCGCGTCAAGAGCCACCCCTCGTAGTCAGTGAGGTTGTATTCGATGCTGTACAGAGCCTACGTTGCTCGCCTGAAGCACATTCGCGACATGAGCGCCATCCAGATTCGCGAAATCTTTACCAGACGTCTCCTCTCAACAGCTGAGTGTGCTATACGGCGCACTACGCTGTCCTGCTTCAATTGATTCCATTATGAACACTGGGGCCAAGCTAGCGACCTACGCGGACTTTGTGGCACCATTGCTCGATGTCTCGATCTTCCCTATAGTGGACAGGTGCGCAAAAACCAATCCCGTGTGCGCGACTTTCAGACACGTGACGCGTCGCGTTCCCATAGCGAGTCGCGCACATTGGCAATGAAGAAAGGTCAACGCTTGCTTGCTGGCATGGATTTGTGAGATGCTTGTCGCGAGGGGTCGTTATCTGGCTCAAGGCGAAACTACCATCATCTTTTACTATGCCAAGCGCGGTTGATCGGCCTCCCCCTTGCGTTGATTCCGCGGTCTGCGACGAGCTTGGTCACGCCATAGCGCCTGTGTGTTAGCACATCCGCTTTGCCGCGTCCCGTGCGCTTGAGAGACACACGGCCCTCCTTGGCGTCGTCACCCAGAGCGATACGTCAACGCATCATTATGTTCCCTCTTCATCTTAGCGACCTGCCATTACCGCCCACGTACTACAGCGCACTTCAAAGGGCGGGCTACGAGCTAGAGACGGAATTGCTCTTGACTCCCTTGTCCCAGGTGCAGTCAAAGCTGAAGCACGCCAGCAGCGGAGGTCGTCGATCCATCGCTGGCGCTCGCGTAGGCTCGAGCTCGAGCTCAGGCTCCGGCAAGTCCCTGTCAGCAAGGCAAATCGAGAGCATCGTGAATGAAGCCGCCCACCACCTCGCCCCAAAATCAAGGACTTGTGCTGCGGTGCTGCACTCAGAAGGGCACGATTGGGAGCACGCAAATCGAGCTGGGGAGAGTGAACAAGCAAGTCCCGAGGTTGGGACACAAGAGCAGGGCGGGAGCACCGCAGCTAGGGCAGGACTTGGTGCGGATCACCTGAGCGTGGGAGACGACATGCTGGACGACCTGCTTGGAGGTGGCGTTCGCTGCGGTATGCTCACCGAAGTGGTGGGCGAAAGGTGAGCATCCCGTTGGTCAAGGAATTGTATGCAGCGCATCGATCCTCGCAATGCAACCGTGCAAGCGTTGCTGATCGCCTGTATGCGCTCCTCAGCTCCTCTGGGAAGACACAGCTGTTATTGCAGCTTGCTGCGGCCACTGCATTAGGTCTCCCTGACGGGTTTGGCGAGGCAGACTCTTCGGCCTTGTCAGGCGGAGTTGCGATCATGACGCCGAATGGACGAGCTGGGGCGTACGCCATCGTAAAACGATTATCAGAAATAGGAGACGCTCTGATGCGGCGGCATCTTCGACGACGTGCATATCGCGCCAGAAAACGCCGCCGATATGACAGTCTGGATCCGCCTGATGACCCTCGTGGGTCAGTCTCGAGTAGCGAGGCTCCTGAGACGTCGCAAACACCCGTCGAGCCAACCGACGCGATGCTTCGGTCAGCTCGACAAAGAGTTCTGGAAAATGTTCACATCGCATGCATTGGTGATGTTGATGCTCTCTCGCACGCAGTCCAATTCACCTTGCCTGGCCTGATCGAGCGGCTCTCCAAAAGCCCGCCAAATTCACGAAGGCCTCGACACTCACAAGCACCTCTCAAGCTGATCATTATCGACGACCTTCCCGTTCTCCTCAGCGTCAACGATGCTCTGTCCGCCTCAGCAGCCTCTGCATCGAAAGGCATGCGCGACATCGTGACGCGTGCGCGAACTATGATAGAGCTCACAGATCAGTTGAAAAGAGTTGCCCTCCTCGGCACACGAACGCCATCATTTCCTCATCGAGCGTCGACGTCGGATCCCCACCCTTTTGCACTAGCTGCAGGCATTGCTGTGGTCGTCTCGAACCACGTCATGGACGCATTCGAAAAGGAGCGGGAAATTGCTTTGAGGTACGTGCAAGAATGCATCCGAAACGAACGTCGGGTGCCGATTCGTTTGGACACTTCCAGCGCCTGCGTAGCCCACGAAGCATCGCAAGCCGGTGAATCAGGTGGGCTTGCGAGTGTCGCATTTCCTCCAACTGTCTATGGCATACAGTCTGCACCTTACTCGGGTCTTCTGGCTACATCTGGCCGGTTGAGGCGCGCTTTGCAGCGGCAGACAGCGCAGAATGCTGTGGTCAAAAGTGCTCAGATGGATCGACCATCCGCTTCATGCACTTCCTACATGGACGAGAATGAGCTCACCACGAGTCGAGAACGCAGCTCGACAAGGCACGATCCCGAGATGTATACAAGCTCAAGCAACACAACAGCAGGTAATCACACTCCAAGCCAACATGCTCCACAACAAAAGCGAATACAGGCCACGCCAGTAGATTCTGACACTACAGAGGCGATGGATGACTCCTTCGAGGGCGCGTGCTCAGACTTGAAGATTGCATGCCTTGGCCAGTCGTGGACGAATAGCATTAATGTCAGGTTGTTCCTTAGCAAAAGCCAGCGTTTTACGATTGTGCCTTCAACCACCTCAAAGGCCACACCCCATCTCTCTGACGAAAGCACAACCCCAACAGTTGCTGTCTGGCCCGGCCACGAGACTGGTGGTGACCAGAGTCACGACAAACAGCGTGCCGCGCGCACGCGTCTTCACCAAGCGGCGTTGTTGTTGAGTCCGCACGCTCCTGCTGGCCATCACAGCCCGGCAGGATCACCAAAGGTGGACTTCGTAGTGACCCGCGAGGGCATCCAGAGTACTGTGGGCGACGTCTGCAGGCAAGCAACGCCTGGGGCCGAGACAGTGGGAGAAAATTCTCGACGCACCTTCGCTAGGTGATGGGCAAGCAGCAGCATGCGCCGGCAAGATTTGTGGTCTCATGGCGTCGGAAACCGCCACTTCACAGTAGTTCACGCCTGTGCAGGGACGAGTGATATCGGGTTGCATTTAAATGATGCGGAATGGACAGATGCTGGCGACGGTCTGGAGACGAACTGCCAGGACGCCAAGCGCCGTTGCACCTCTCGGTCGGGCTGGTAATGCCATTACGTCCCGAAAGGACACGACTCCAGTCTGTAGCATTGTAAGAATGTTGACGTGTTACCATTTACGAGGATACGCCGCCCTCTGCTTTCCGGCGTGGTTCGCTAGTGAAGCCTCCGCTGCTTGCGGATGGTTGTGGAGCCGCTGAGAAAGCAGACTCCAACCCAATCTAATCCAGACCCAAAGTACTCCAAGCGCGCAGTAGGTGCTAATCAGCATGAGAGGGAGGAATTCGTACTGTGTGTGTAATTGAACATCTGGCATGCCGCTCGAGCTCAGCTTGCGAACGTTCTCCAGTGGTGTTGCATGGCTCCCAAGACCCGCGGCAGAAAGGTCTGAGCGCATCGAGGGTGTTGCAGTTTCCCCGCTCGATGCGTCCATGGAAAAGGACGCCAGGGGGTCGCCAGCAGGCGAAGCTTGTACCCAGGGGGCGTGCGACGACGGCTGGGCGATGAGAGCCGAGGTGAGTGAATCTGCAGCGCTCATGATTGCCTCCGCAGCAGTCCCGACGGGTCCACTCTCTTTTGTCGGCTCCAGATGTCGCTCTCGCGTGAATAAGACAGGGTGCAGCAAACTCGTGTAGATCTGAAGGATGATGAAGCCGAGGAGGTAGACATTCTCAAGCACGTGCGCGATGGCAGTGAGGTTGCTCGGCACGGGCCTGTACACCTGTTTACGGATCGAGCCGAAAAATACGAAGCTCCAAGCAAGCGTATAGAACAATTTTAAAGGGGTCTCTTTGGCATCGTAGAGCAGAGGGAAGAGGCCAAAGATGCCGACGATGCTGAGCAGCGTGGTGAGGCGGGCGTGGACGTAGCTGACTGGTGCGAGCAGGGTTAGCGGGAGCAAAGGCAACAGAATCGCCTTCTCGTGGACGTGGTAGCCGAAGATGAAGCTGGTAAGACCTGAAGAGATGAGCACGGTCAGGAAGTTGAGATACGTGGGTCGTGTCCATAGCCGGCTGCTAAGCACCAGCAATGGAGTGGCCGTCAATACCAGACAGTGTGATGCTGAAACGGTAGGAAGGACGCCGAAGGTAGTGTCTCCGATCAGACCTCGAGATGAGGAAGCGCGTGCAGCTTCGGTGATCTTGGATGAAGTGGCCATGCCTGTCGCAAGCAGAGCACGATCCGCAAATGAGTAAAGAGCCCAGAAGTTGGCTGCCCAATACGCGTGATTGAGTCCTCTTTGAAAGGGAAACAGCCGCGCAATCATCTGCCTCAAGATGCCAAGAGGTCCCGCAGGCGCTGAAGTGGTGAGACCAGATGCCAGCAGGGGTAGGATAGCAGCCAAAGGTGGGATGAGGGTAATTGTGCCAAGTGTAAAGAGGCGAGATGCAGGTCCAGCTCCAGTCGGTCCATCCATCGTCACGGATGCAGGATGGACATAGGTCCGAAGCAGGAAGATGAAGTAAGCGGGAGCAAGATAGATGTAGATGTGCTTGAGCATCAAGAGTGAGGAGAAGAGGAAGGCGCTGAGCAGAGGGCGACGCTGACGGAGCAACGTTTGCAGAGTGGGGACGGGTCAGCCATGGCAGTCGCAGCTTGGGCTTTGAGGATCATGAGGATGTCCGAATCCAACGCAGGCGTGTGCTCCACTACCCATGCATTCACGAATTTGCCTCAGGAAACACCTTTGCACGCACCTCTCTCGCGGCCCATATGGACCACAGCAACACGCCAGTCAGGAAGCCGTTGTATTGAAAGTGGATGTGGTCCACGATGACGAGTGCGGGATGAAGTAAGATGGCGCCGGCAACGAGCGGGGAGATGGCTTGTTCAGCTTTGACGTGCGCGTCTTGATCCGTGTTTGCGCTCGATGGAGAGCGAGACGCTGAGCCCAGGCCCGATTCAGAGCTCTTGCCGCTTTGCGCACCGCTAGGAGTGGCCAGTGCCCATAGTGCGCCGACGAGGACAAGCTCGGTGAGCATGACGCTGAGTCGAAGGATGCAGATTGCTCGGGGAGAAGCGTACTGCAAACCCTCTTGCAAGTGGACGATGCGAGCGTCGAGCGGTGCAATGACCTGAGCTAGCATGCGCTCAAAGAAGGCGAAAAAGGGCGGGTAATCGAGCGTCCATTGCGACGTCGTGTCAAAGTACCAGTGCGAGACGGGCAGGGTCTTGGTGAGAGCGAGCCAATGGCGATGCACCTCCAAGTCTGTACTGTGATAAGCCGGCACCAATAGCAGCTTGACGCTCGTTGACAGGACCAGCACATCCCTTAGCCAGCCCGGCATCTCGAACAGAGTCGCCAACGCCATGCTCGCTTCTCGCTGCACCGGCCAGGCGGCAGAGCGCGAGATAGGTGCGCCTTGCGTGGCCGATCCGAGAACGATAGGAAATCGATCGCGTCGGGCCACCGCTCGTTAGCATGGATCGCGTCGAGAGTGAGATTGGCGCGCCGCTCAAGGCGCCTTCTGTAATGAGCCCCCGAAGAGCGGAGAGAGACCAGATGGACGCTCGGATGATGGTGTGACAAGCCCGCGCGAGAGGCAGCGTGAGTCGTGAGTGGTCACACGCTCATCGGCGTGAGTGTGGTGAGAGTGTTGGCGTGAAAGCGAGCAGACGAAAGCCGATCCAATCTTGGTTGCAAGCAAGGAGATGGAGGAACCCTCGCGAAGCTTGAAAGGTGAATGCGCCAAACAGCCATCCCAGCAGCCATTCATTCAGATTGTGGTTCAAACAGCTGCGTCAAAGAGTCATCAATTTGTGATTCAAGATTGAGAAGTCAAAGTCGGAGTCGGAGCACTACCGCGTCATGGCACGTGACCCAAGGGACTTCATGGTCACGGTACCTGCATGTGTTACGACGCCCTTTCATTCGATCGTGACGGTGCTCGTCGTCACTCACGGCTCGATATTGGTGACTATATACGTGACTACTGCAATAAATAGCAAGTTGTGACCCCACGACTGCTTTCTCACTCGTGATTTGACTCGAAAGCGTACCCTGTTGAGCCGCGTAAACAGCCGCACACGCGCCTTCGATTCCATTCAATGATTGCACGATAAAGGCCACGCGGTGACACAGTGAGCCGGATGACAATGAGCGCGCGCGATGCGTTTGAGCCATTCGAAGTCCTATCACATCAGGCCGTCATCATCCAGCGCAACAGCAATCGTGGATTCGTGAGTCGAATTGATTGTACTGCATCTACGAATGCGGCATGCGTGCGCGACTAGCAGAGCCGAGTGGGAAAATCGATGCATGCAGCATCAGGAAATGGTTTGAATCTTGACTTCTCAAACTCGACGGTATCTATTTTGGAGCTTCGAGCGATCAGGTATGCGCGGCATCCATGGCCATGCATGACTTTGGGTGACGTTTGATTGGTGAATGTGATTTGGTGTGACTATTGGGTCTCAATCAAGAATCACGAATGCTGACGCATGTATGCTGTGTCGAATGTAAGTGAAGGCTGGAGACCTCCGCCGTGGAGGGCGATACTTGTTGATCTATTGCGCCCCCCTTGCCTCCCTTGTGCTTCCACTTGTATTCCGCGTTCACCGCTTCAATCGTGAATCGTTCGAAGTCATATATATACTCGAGTGATCCATCATTCAAATTCGTACCTCCACGACAGCGGGGCCGTAAGTCTTGCTATCACCAATCAAGAACACGATTTGATGTCATCGTGTCGCTGTGGCTGCGCTAAGGTTCAGCAATTGAATGAAACGGCTGCGTGCCTCTCTTACGGTCCACAGCAAGGTGCGCGCGAGATAATCAAGACTGAATGGTGAAGGCTGGTGTGCAGAGCTGCAAAGATGTACGGGCGTTTACAATCAAGAATATGAAATGCGTATATACGCCTGTAGAATCCTGACTTCACCGTGGACAAAGCGCAGCCGAAGTGGAAGAGCGGCCATCATGCATGCAACGTCTGGGCTGAATCATTGAATGCTTGACTCTTAATTGAGTCCCACATACGACGCCTAAACCATGTAGTCGTCAGCGGGGGCCATGCAAGTCCTGCTTTGAGTGTGCCAGGGGCCGCAGCACTACCTCGATCAACAAAGGGCACAATGCCATTCTTGCAGCTCAAAGGGTGCCGCAGTATAGACTTTCGAGATACGAGCCGGCCAGCCAGCCGGTCTTGATCGTATTCTGCTTTCATTTGCCCGCCCTACAACCTACACACTTGAGTATTCTTGATTGCCAGCCTGCAAAACGTTGTCGGCAAGCCCGGGCCAGCTGGCTGCGCAAAGCAATGGGTACCATATGCAGTTCAAGGCCTATTGCACGTATTTGTGGTTATGGAGCCGCTAAACAAGGGGATGAGGACGGTACCGAGGTGTCGTGAGTGTGGCAAGAATGGATGCCGGGAAGTGAGCAGCGCTCTCACGTCTGTGAATCGTTAAGAGGCAGCCGAATCACGAATGATCGCGCACTTTCAAAGATCGTTCATGATTTGTGTTCGCAATCAAATCATAGACGCTCCAGCAACTCTGCGCCAGACCTTTGACCGAGGTATGTCGAGCAGGAACGGCGAGTATGTCATCCACTCCAGAGATTCAAGCCAGCCAGATCTCAATCGGTCCATCACGTTGCAAGCTTCGAGAACAGTCAAGGCCGACTGTCCCCACCGACATCATCGTCAGGAAACGCGCTCTCGATTGCTTGCCGCAATAGCAACCCTTCTTCGCAAGCGCGTAGACCTTTCCCATTTTGTGGCTGCTGATGACAGCCAGGCCACGATATCGTGGACAAAGGTGACTGGATGAGCGATATGAAAGGTAGACTTGAGGCAATGGACGCAGCGCGACAGACTGCGGCCAATCGAATCAAATGCAGTCAGTCAGTCGTGAGTGGACGTGCCTGTACGCCCGACATGCGACTCCACGGCGACTACTCTTCACTGTAGTCTTGATGGCTGACGACTGACGTCTTGGACTCAAGACTCACGACTCACTGTACCGCGCGCACCGCTATGGTAAAAGTACACCTAAACGCGCGCATCCGCCGTTGCTTTGCACCGTTGCCGCACCAGCCGGTCGCGCGCACAAATGAGGTGCGAGCTCGCGCAGCAGCTACAGTCGTCAATCGTGAATGTCGAGTCGCGAGTGAGTAGACGATTGGTGATGTGGGCCCCGCCGCCTACTTTCTTCAGCAGCGGGACTAATTTCCTGCGGCGCATGAGTGCGGGGCAGCCTAATTTCAAGCAAGAGTGCTGAACTGCCACAAACATTCGATGACGCACTCACTCCGCACCACTCACTCATGCACGCGCAAGCAGTCCTGAGTCACGAGTCACGATCGAGTGCGCTGGGGTGCCTATGCTCTGCAGACATCGAGACCGGCGCGACATGCAAGCAGAAACGATGATGCAGCATCATCTCCCCCAGACGCTGTCACGCACGCTGCTGAGATGCCTGACGCAGCGATTCACGCTTTGCTACTTGCTGTAACCCTGCTCCCCCCCCCCCCCCCCAGCAGTCCAGTGCGTGGGGAAGGAGAGCTGGAAACGCGACTTGCCTGCCCCGCCGTTGCCCTAACAAGATTCGTGATTCGACGCAATGACTGGCGCTGTGCCAAGCAAGGGAGATGTAGAGCCGAGCGACCTTTTCTCCGCATTCATTGAATGCTCTCTCGCATGTGACGCTTCCGCCGCCGCCATGCACAACCACCAAGCCTCGCCTTCCCTTGCGCTCTCACGCTCAAAGTCTTTTGAGCTTGAGCCGGTTCACAGCCAAACGTCTTCTCGTGCTCCTCTTTCCCCATCATCCCCGCCTCTCCCACCACCCCTTGCCTCCCTTCATTAGCCCGTCTCCTTTCATTTCGAGCATTTCTTCCCTCCCTTCCCCATCTTCGCTCGCTGCTCGCCCATCTCAACCACTGCCACCACTCACCACCTTGTCTCGCGAGCCATAGCAGCGCGGACGCCACCGACAAAGGCAATCACCGCGAGACACATTGCCATCTCGTCTCTACAGACGCGCGTTGAGCACACCAGCGCGGATCGTGTCCACTCTCATCCCACACACCTCCTCTCCCACGACCCGTTCGTTCGTCGCCATGTGGGCCAAGGTCTTTTTCGTTCTTGCTGGCGTGACTGCCGCTGCTGTGAGTGAACCGTGGAAGAAAGGGATCGTGTGAGCGCGATAGCGCATGCAAGTCTGGCAATGTCGCGGTGACACCGAATCGGAACGGGCTGGAGCGAGGTGCTCGCGCAGACATGGCTGCCGCTACGCTCTAACGCTCACATCCCCTCTCTTCGGGCCCTTCCTCTCGTCTGCTCGATGCTGACCCTGGATGGTGGCACGTAGGCCCAAGTCACCCCATCGGTTTCTATTGATCCGCTCAGCGGCAGCTCTTTCGCTACCAATCCCGTGACGCTGCCCGCCACCTTCACGCCCGTGACCACATTCGAGTCGGCCGGCTCTCGCACTCCCACTACCATCAGCGGGATCGGACCGAGCCCCACCTCAGCGCCATACACTTTCGTCTACTCTGCACCTGTTAGCAGCTTGACAGGCACAGGCCTCAGCAACCTCTTCTCAAGCCTCGCCGCCAACGGACAGCCCACGCAATTCACCGCTGCCTTTCAGCCAGATCCTTCAAATCTCCAGGTGAGTCGTGTTGCATTGCGTTGCGTGCTCGGTCGTTCGACAGGGGTCGTGCTCTGCGTGCCAAGCAGGCACGCCATCACTACACACGCTCCAAAACAGCGGGCCACATCAGCGACTTTCGCGGCGGACGCATGCCGATTGGTCACTCATGACTGGTGTTTTGCATTGCCTCGAGGCGATTGGGCGCTTCGACGTGGATGCCGTGCACTGCCACCACGCCGCCGCCGCATGCGCGACCAGGGTCACCAAGGCCGATATCACACGGTTGCATTCGTCGAGCCTCACTGTGGCTTGAGCATGACGCCCGTCACGTCTCTGAAAGTGGCCAAGAGGAGAAGCGCTGCTGACACTCTTCGAAACATTCTGACTCGCAGATTGTCGGTGGATCCGGGAACCCCTCTGGATCTGGGAACTCGTCTGGATCCTCTTCGGGCGGACAGGATGGTGCCTTCTCTCTCGGACCCAACTCCTACCAAGCACAAGCGATGGCGCTCGTAGCCGGCGCGATGCTCATGGGGGCTGCTTTGGCATGATTTCCGGTCTGGGTTTGCATCTTGATTGGGGACCGTAGCGTCTCCCCAACACGCTACCAGCAGCAGTGGCGCGTGTCTCCCGTGCTCGAGCAGGCACCACACACACCACTCGAGCCGGGTTCTTACATTCGTGTCGTTGGCATTGTACGACGAAGTCTGCTTTCATCCACGATAGTCGGACTTTGTCAGCGACACCATCATCAGTCTTTTCCTTGCTCAGCCTGCGTGCCGCTGCACATTATGCGCGCCTTTGGTTTAATGCTCTCACCCGCGGTCCTTCCATACCACCCAGCTTGTTTGGTGATCTCAGTCTCTTCAATTCATATCCCATTTTTTCACCCATTTCGAGCGCTTGATTGAGCTTTACATGACGTGGTAGGCGCCGCGTCTGACTTGTGACGTGCAGCACATTCAACTGCATTTGACAAGGCCCCAGCCCGGCTCCTGCCATAGCTCGTCGTGCGCTTCGCTTCGAGCAGTTGCAGAGTGATCGAACATACGGTGAGCACAAGCGCGTATCGACGTGCCGCCCGTGAGCCTGAGCATGCTGAGAGACATCGACTACGCGACACCTGACTTACCCACGCTCTCGATAGCATGTGGTCAGGAGCCACGATGCAAGAACACAATTCAAACCAGCTCCCACGAGGGAGGCCGCGCACAAGGTTCTGAGTCAGCCATCAGCGCTGCGTTTCCGATCCTGCGCTTTGATTGCAGTAGTAACATAGTCTGCCCAGGTGTGTGGACCCGGCTTACTGTACGTGCAAGTGGGACCAGCTCTCGGACGCACGAACGCTACGGCGAGTGAGATAGAAGGACTGCACATACACGCCCTCGCGACTGTCTGTACGCCAGGCCGCCAACTATTTACGTCGCGGGTGAACTTCGAAGGTCACCAGCACCGCACGCCTGTGCCTGTGCGAAGTCGAGAGGATGGAATGACGTGCACGTCGGGTTATTGCTTTGGAGTTCTTGGAGCGCCACGTCAGATGAGCGGGTGCTTTTCGCCTGTATCTGATCAAATGAAAATTGCAAATGACTTGTGCAGGCTGGGAGGTCTTCTATTGCCGTGTGTCTGCTGGCGACGACCCGCGGAATGAGTTTGCAACGCGCTCGCTCGAAAGCTTGTACCTCACATTGCTGACCGGCACCGTTGCAGGCCTCGTCTTCCAGGGAGCGCGCCTGCAAGCCACACGAATGACTTGATGCTTCCACTCCTTCTGTCACGGACCTCGCGTGGTCGTGTGGACCGCTTTGCAGGTACACGCGCCTCATCCAACAATGCACTCGCTGTCTTCAACTACATGACGATTCAAAGGGCGTGAGAGTGTTGTTACAAGGCGTGCGCAGGCGTAGCTCTTCGATCGTCAAATGTGACCGAGCGAAGCGTCGGCGGCATGCATCGGCAATGAGGCCAGGTCGATTGGCTATACGTCGAATGCGGCGCAATGCCCTACATGAGACCGAATGTGTTCTCCCCACTGTACTGGATGTCTGCGTGGCCGTCAATCAGTATCAAAGTATGAGCAACAAGGACAACTGTAGGATTACGATAGCAAAGGGCATCCTCACAAAGAAAACCGTCCTCGTCCTTGTGCTCCTCGTAGATCGCGCTCATGAGTGCCGCCGTTGCGGGCAGAACCTCGTCCACGAAGATGAAGATGGCCTTCTCTGGAGCCAGCTTGATCCGTTTGCGAATGACGTAGACGAACTGGCCGACAGTCAGATCGGAAGGCACGAGATACTTCTTCTTGTCGATGGTTGGAATGTCTGTCCTGTCTGCCTTTTCGCAGATAACCTGCGCGTCGCAAAGAATAGCTTCAGTACTATTGAGCACGGATGCAGGAAGCAGCTGAGCTTGGAGAATGTTGAAGCAGCAGCAAATGTCGGAACCCCCACTGAAACCGCGTTGTCCACAGTTGTGCAACCGCACGCGCGCAGCTCGCGACCGGTGCGGCAAGCACCTGATCTAGTCACGGTTGGAGCCATGTAAAGAATCCCACGTTGGGACTCCCCACACATTTGGCCTGCAGCGACGGACCAATCGGGAGCTCGTTCGGACGCGGAGTCGGACGCAGCGGGACCGCTTGACAGCACTACACATGCGGCCTGGCCTGGCGATGGAGCGCGCATCCCTATCCCCCTTCCGATCCACAAGATCGTCCCAGCCAGGCGCCATCTGGGTTCAGAACCTGTATGCCCCTCTTATGACCGCCAAGCAATGACATATCGCCCGTGTCCGCCCGCCTGGCCACTCACAGGGATTCTGTCAGGGTACTTCTGCCTGATTCGCTCTGCCTCAGCTTTGCGTTTCTCTGTTGAAGCACAGAGAGAGAGAGAGAGAGAGACGGGTTGAGAGCATCGAGTGGCAGGAATGATCGAGATTGGCGAGACGCAGTAGAGCGTGGCAATGGATAGGGACAATGGATAGGGACGTGCCAAGGTGCGAAAAGATGGGAAAAGAGCATCAGCACTTAAGTCTTCGGCGCGCATACACCCCATTCAATGGCCAGTGTCCAAAGCAAGTTGCTCGTGACGCACCAAACGGATGCTCATCCTTAAACTTGGACCTCATGATTGGCGACGCGCTGTTCTGCCAGTCCTAGTTGGATTCAGCAGCAAATGTCACGGGTGAACGTTCGCTTTCTTTGGTTCTATTGTAGGGTCGCTTGCTCTCGCGTTTGAGTCGATGGGCTCAGGCGCGGGGATCAAACGGTTGAGTTGGTGCTTGCAGGGGAGATGGTGGCGTGAAGGCGGATGGGGTGGGTATGCGAGCGTCGAGAGCTGAGCGGGTGTAGATTGCCATTCGCTCCACCCAGCATGCGCCCTCCCGACTCACGACGGCTGCGCGTAGCTTGTAGAGTCACTGAGTCACGGAGCAGCTAGCATCAGCGAGTCGCGCACCAGCCAGTGCCAGTGTACGTCTGACTTTGACTGACTGGTCTCTCCAGAGGCGGTGCATCTGCTGTGTCCATGCACGCGCGTCTGCAGCATGCATGGATGCATGCACGCTCTATACAGGCGGCCCATGGCAGCGAACGCGGCACCCGGCGGGCGTACGGCAGATGGCAAGGGCAGCGCAGAGCAGCAGAGCAGAGCATGCAGCAGGCAGCCATCGCATCCGTGCACGCCCGCCCCTTTGATATTCTGTGGGTATATTTAAGTGCTCCGTCAATCTCGAGCGCGCGCGTTGCAAAGCTCATACGCGCGGCCCGCATTCGAATCAGGGACCCACTCCATATGCAGCATTAGACGCGTGTCAGGCGCAGCAATTGTGGTCCGGGGGCGTGCAAAATCGCGATGTTTCTTGATCATTGCTGATGATGCACGCGCACGCGGCAGCAGCAGCGCAGCGCATGTGCACGCGCGCGGTACTACTACTCAAGACTGTGGTCAACACCGACCAATTTTGGGTGGAGCTCACTCACGAGTCACGACTGTCAGTCACGAGTCTAGATTCATCGAGCGCAGATAGCCCTGCATGCATGCATGCATGCTGCACTCAGCATCCATCATCCTAGCTGCTGCTCAGCGCGGATGCGTACAGTACATGCAGTAATAATGAAGTGATGTGCGTCTATACATATTCACCAGCGTAAGACGTTGGCGTGACTCTCCTCCGCGGACATTCAAGAGATTATTCACCATTCAAACCGACTACAAAAGTTTGGGCGCACACGTGAGAGGCGCTCTTGTCACGTGATTGTCCTCGAAGAGAAGCGCACCAGTGATTTGGCAGATTCTATTCGGAGATCAGACCATTTCATATTCGGAGACAACGTCATATATGGACGTACCGCAATTCAGTTGTACGGCCAAATGAGCCGTATTTCAAAAATGACACATACGGCAATAACTGCCATGCTGCGCGCGCGCGCATTGTATGCAGGCCAAATTCAAAATGGTCTTGCAGATTATACTTTTGACCGCGCGCGCACAGTTTGTAATCAAGTCAAATACAAGACAAGCTTTGCAGCCGGTCACTGCACGCGCATGCATTCTAATCTTTTTGTATTTGCCTGATCACAACGCATGCGCGCGCGGTCAAAATTGTAATGTGCATCTTGATTTGTGCTTTAACAATGTGCGCGCGCGCAGCGAAACGTTGGTACGGCTGTATATGACGTACTAATGCCGTACAACTGAATTGCGGTACGTCCATATGTGACGTTGTCTCCGAATATGAAATGGCCTCATCTCCGAATAGATTCTGCCCAGTGATTTTTGATTTTTGGACACAAATTCGTCAGATGGTTTGTCTTACTCGGTCAAGATTCATGCTGATCTGCGTCATAAACCTGAACACCGAATGGATGGCAAGAGACTCTCTCTCTCTCTGCACAACGCTCCCCCAAGTCAAGGCCAGAGTGTCACGGACGGTTCTGCCCCTCATCGGACACGCTCTTCGCGGCAGTGCTCACAGCTCTGGGTCAAAGGACCATTCATGCCCCCTTCCTGAGAAAGCGTAAAGCCAACAGTCTCGCCAGTCGCACATCGTTCACCATGCAGAGTCAGAGTGGTCCGAGCAACGGTGGGCATCTCGTCCAACCTGACGCATCAGATCTTTCTGCTCCTGCTACACAAGCAGAAGAGAGCAACACTGCGCGTCAAGCAGGCATTGCACCGATCCGAGCAGAGTATCTGGTGCAGATCATTCGAGGCCAAACCGGCCAGCATGAGCGCGCGCGTGCAGAAGCTGGTCAAGGTGCTGAAGGCACAGAGCACGATCAGCACGATGCGGACGAAGCGGATGATGCTGCTGAAAGCGCGGGGGCTGTCTGTGGCCACGTTCGCGCTGCAGAAGCAAGGGGGGACGGCGAGGGTCCTTCGAAGAAGCTCAAAGGCGCTGCAAGGAAGAAAGCGATGAGGGCGGCAGCAGCTCAAGGCGGGTCAGGCGGCAAACAGAACAAAGGCAGAAAGTTTGGTAGGGTGACAGACGCCAAGGGAATTTGTCATGCCGCTGCCAGAGGTGCTGCTTGCACGAACGAACACAGGTGCGTCACGCAACAACCCGCTCAAGGTCACGGTCACGGCCACGGCGAGCCATTCCGACCACCAGGGGCACTCTGACACATCGCCGCTCATCTATGCTGCTGCTGCAGTTGCAAGTTCAGCCACGACATCAAGGGCTACCTGCTCACCAAACCCCGCGACCTCCATTTTCCACACCAGCCGCAAGCGTCTTCCAGTCTTGTAGGGCTTGAGCCGCACGAGCGGCTGGCGTACCTCGATGCGCTCTACACCACCACACCTCCCTTTGTTCGCTGGCCTACAGGTGCTGGGGAAATTGCGGACGAGCCAAAAGATGAGGACGCTCCTCGGGCTGCTGCCAGAGATATAGACGACACATTGTCCAACCAGACTCGCTGCCCTTCCTTCGATGCGCATCGAGCCAAAGAGGCACCCGGCAGCAGTACTGATACATGTCCTGCAGGGTGGAAGTGCCGCTTTTTGGGCGCTCACGTCTCTCGCGAGGTAGGGGGACGATCACTCTCAACCCTAGACAACATGGAAGGGCTTGCTCTGCTGCGCTTCGGGCCCGGTGCGCACGCAACGGCAGACAAGGGCAAGGCGCGAGTAGCACCTGACGAGCGAAACTATCCGAACGCAGACAGCATTCGCGCTCTGTCTCGCAAAAAGGTGAGCGGCACCGCACTGCAGCGCCGTGTACACGCCGAGGTTGTGTCCGCGCCCTTGTTCACTCGCTGAACTTCCGCGCCCGTTGCAGTATCCACTCCCACTCACTCGCGCAGCCACCGCCATACTCGACAAGGATCCTCCCAACGCTCAAGCATCGGGTCGGGTCATTTTCGATGCTCAGGCAGCTCGAAGAGCGTATGCTTCTGAGCAGGCGCAATCACAATCCACCAAGCAGCTCGATGTGCAGAGTGAACCGGGAACGGCTTCCGCCCGAGTTGATTTTGAAGAGCTAGAGAACTCTGCGGGTGCTTCCTCCGATCCTCATGCACTCTCGGCAGCGACGGGGCGGAGGCTGCATGACGCCGAATTCAGTGGAAGTACCATAGGTCAGCTGGATTCTGCGCGCATTCGGCCGCCAGAAAAGCGAAGATTGCAGTGGAAAGGCGAGCTTTGTGAGTGACTTCATCACGAAGCGGAGCTGCCACAACGTCTGACCCCAGCCTTCTCGCATTGCATAGACCTAGCCCCGCTCACGACCACGGGGAACTTGCCTTTCCGCCGTATGTGCACTACTTTGGGCGCCGACATAACTTGCGGAGAAATGGGACTTTCAGAGAGCTACATGCAAGGGTCGTCTAGCGAATGGAGTCTGGTCAGAAGGTGGGAAGGGGAGCGGATCTTCGGCACCCAGGTGCGTGATCAGTTTGACGGCGAGGCCTTCTGCTTCTGCTGATCTTTATATGCCCAACACATGTAGCTCTGTGGTGGCAAAGTGAATACGATGATCTCGGCCGCAGAAGCTCTAGCCACAGAGGTTGGAGATGGACTCGATTTTGTAGATGTGAGTTTGGGTGTACAAGGGCCTCACATCGCCGGGCTGGGGACGTGCTCACCCTGCTCGTGCGAGCAGATCAATTGCGGATGCCCTATCGACCTGGTTTACAACCGTGGCGCAGGCTCCGCCTTGCTCGACAGTGTCAATCGCATGGGTAAAATCGTGCGAGGTGTCTCTGCAGTGATGGGCGAGATACCTGTCACGGTTAAATTGCGCACGGGCACGTCGGCCACGCGTACAGTCCACAAAGTCTTTCCGCGTCTGCAGACAGACTTCGGAGTGGGCGCCGCCACTTTGCACGGGCGCAGCAGAAAGCAGCGGTACAAGAACGAGGTGCGCTTGATACACACGGCATGGGCCCTCTCGATCCACCTGCTGATAGTTTATGCTCTCAGGCTTCATGGGAGTACATCGGGGAGTGTGTCAAGGCATATCGAGACTCTCTCCATGCTCACAATGAGGAAGCACGCACTGCAGACGAAGAGGAGGTGAGCCTTTCTTGGCGAGCGCGAGGAGGTCATTTTAGGACACGCGATTTCTGACCATGCAGCTTGCGGTCAGATGCTGCCGATTCCCATCTATGGCAATGGAGATGTCTACGACTGGCGTCGCTACTACGAGACATTGGACATTTCTGGTGTCGACGGCGAAATGTTTGCGCGCGGTGCTTTGGTGAAGGTACGCAGATGCAGATGCCAGCCCGTCGGTTGGGCCGCAGACTGACGAGACCGCTGACCTTCGCTCGATGTGCTGTCTAGCCGTGGGTCTTGTGAGTATTTTGAGCGTGCGTGTACAAGATCTCGTAGCTCGACTGACTCCACGTCGCTTGACTCCCCCATGATTTTTCTGATGTCAGCACCGAAGTCAAAGAGAAGCGCGACTGGGACATCAGCAGTCGCGAGAGACTAGACCTAGTGCGGCAATACGCTGAATGGGGTTTGACTCACTGGGGGTCGGATACACAAGGTGTCAACACCTGTAGGCGTTATTTGTGCGAGGTGAGACTCATCTCGCTTTCCTGGCTTGTACCGCAGCGTTTTGACATCCTGCGCTTGCGCACCGACGATCTCTCCGCGATAGTACTTGTCTTTCACTTGCAGATATATACCTGTAGGACTCCTAGAGAGCTTGCCTGCCAAGCTCAATGACCGCCCGCCAGCTTACAAAGGTCGAGATGAGCTGGAGACGCTGCTCGCCTCAACCCGAGCATCCGATTGGGTGAGATTGAGCGAGATGTTCCGTGAGTGGCACCTCCTCGCCACTTGACGAATCAATCGCATCGTGCGGCTCACATCCTGTCTTCCCACCTTGTAGTGGGCAAATCACCGTCAGAATTCACTTTCCAGCCCAAACACAAATCGAGCAGTTACGAGGATAACGCAGAGCAGCAAGGCTGAGAAGGGTACTTGGGTCAGCGGTCTGATGGCCTGCGCAAAGCCACCAGTCAGCTTCCAATGCAACTTGATATCTGTTGTATCGTGCAGGGCCTCTGCGCTTCTGACGCGAGTCAGACGCACCACTACCCATGCGCTCGCATGTACGGCGACGATGCCTTGACTCCGTCAGTTCAGCACTTTCGCACTAACTCGATGGCGCTTTCTGCGGCGAGCAAGACGATGCAAGCCTCGTCGAGAAAGAGTGCGCGATGGGTTTCAGGAACCGAATCACACGCTTCTCTGCTTCATGCGTCGTTGACGTCAAAGATGAGCCTGCTATCGTTCTTCAGGATTGTTGATGATTGACCGAGATCCTGCGATGTACGGTTCGTGATTGTTACCGCACCGTCAAAGCAGCATCTTTGCACTCTTGACTTCTATGACGGCACCTTCCTGGCTCGGGTCACGTGATTTGCGCGCTCCGGTCAGGGTTCTGAGAGTCTGCAGTCGAGTCGATTTGCCGAGTCACGCCGACGTGAGAAGATCGTGAGAAATTTAGACTTGAGCGCGCGAACAGCGTGAGTAGCGTCATCTCGTAACTTTGCTTCCCCAATGAGCATCTCACGATAGCGATCGCTGGCATCTTGACGCGCCCCCATCCAGCAGCCCAGACTTGTGAGCCGAAGGCTGCTCCAGCACAACGATCCACGACTCGATTGCCTCTGGTTCCACGATGCCCCCCTCTGCTCCAGTCCCCATCACGCCCAGCGCTGTCACTAGCGTGTCGGCCAGCACGGCCATCTCCTCCCCGTCTGTCGAGTGCGAGGGTCAGACAGAGTACTCGCGTACACCCACTACGAATTCGGGGCTATATCTGGCATCATCACCGCATCTCGACGCTCTTGACAGCATCGCTGCTGGCACAGCTACGACTGCAGCCATTGCCAAGAACAATGCCTCCAACCGACCTTGGATCGTTCAAAAGTACGGCGGCACCTCGGTAGGCAAATTCTTGCCTGCCATCTCCCGCACCATTGCGCCCGAATTTCTCCGACGCAACAGGCTGGCTATCGTCTGCAGCGCTAGATCGACGGGCACGAAAGCTGGAGGGACGACGAGCTTGCTTTTGGCAGCTGCCGAACAAGCGCTGAGCGCCGAGGACGATACTCCCGAAGCCAGCTTGTCCGGCTCAGTCGCCAGCTTGAGCTCAGCGAGAGAGGGCAGAGCGAGCTTGAGCAGAAACTCGTCCAGAACGGGTGTGCGCACACCTGCTGACTTGCAAGGCGTCACTGCCGGCTTGCAGGCCACGTCTCTGGAAACGGTGTCACAAGCGACGCAGAGCTCGAGCGACAAGACTGTGGATCGCATCATGAGGGAGCACATCGACGCGGCGAGATCGATAGTGACGAAGGATGCGGCAGCTTTGGAGCAATTGGAGCTGGACATACAAGACGACTGCGAAAGGTTGCGGGATCTGCTGTTGGCCGCAAAGGTGAGCGATGTGCGGAGTGGTGCATCGGCCGGATGAATGCACCGCTGATTGACCCTTTCACTCACTCGCCTGGTCACTCGATCGCTCGACTCGCTGCATGGCGCTTACCCTCACGCCAGATCATCGAGGAAGTCTCGCCAAGGTCGAAGGATATGATCCTCTCCATCGGCGAGAGGCTTTCATGCAGACTGATGGTCGGAGCTCTCGGCGATGCCGGCGTGCCCGCCGAGCTCATCGGTCTCGAAACCATCATCGACGCCGCTTTCCTGGAGGAGCTGTCGCAGCGAGGCACTGGTACATCTGGCCAAGCGGAGGGCGCCCTGGAGCAGAGCTTCTACGAGCTGCTGGCCGCAAGGATTGGGGAGCGCGTGAGCCAAGCGAATGCCACGCCGGTCATCACTGGTGAGCGCTGCGCACGATCTCTGCTTGCTGTTACATTGCCGCTGAATTTGAAATGCTAATGACCTTCTCTGCCGCCATACTTCATCAGGCTACTTTGGCAATGTCCCCGGCTCGCTCCTTTCTCAGGTCGGGCGAGGCTACACAGACCTGTGCGCTGCTCTGTGCGCCGTGGGTCTGGCAGCTGAAGAGCTTCAGATATGGAAAGAGGTGGACGGCGTCTTTACAGCGGATCCTCGAAAAGTGCCCACTGCTCGCTTGATACCTGCCATCACGCCCGAGGAAGCATCGGAGCTGACATACTACGGCAGCGAGGTGATACATCCATTCACGATGGAGCAAGCAATAAAGCGTCGAGTGCCCATCAGGATCAAGAATGTGGAGAATCCAACGGGCCTTGGCACTGTCATATTTCCTGCCCAGGAGATTGTTCCTGGGTCTGGCGATGGCACGAAGCTGAAGCAACCAGAGACTCCAAGCGCCAGCGGAAGCAGTACGCCATGGGGCGTGTCGTCTGATGGCGCACCCTTCAATGTCATGGTGCCAGCGGCTACGCCGGCAGCTCGAAAATTGCCTACTGCGGTGACTATCAAGGATGACGTCTGGGTGCTAAATGTGCACTCAAATAGGAAGACGCTCTCGCATGGCTTTTTTGCGCGTATATTCTCAACGCTGGACAAGCACGGCATCGTCGTGGACCTGATCTCCACGTCTGAAGTCCACGTGTCGATGGCTTTGGCATCTGGACAACCCGGCCTCAAACGGCCCCGAGCTCTAGACCGGGTCAAGTCGGAGCTTGGAAGCTTGGGTACCGTTAGCGTGTTGAGGGAGATGGCCATTCTGAGTCTGGTCGGAACGCAGATGAGGCACATGGTGGGCGTGGCTGGCAAAATGTTCAGCACGCTAGCGGAAGGCAACATCAACATCGAAATGATCTCGCAAGGAGCGAACGAGATCAACATTTCGTGCGTCATCCATCAGAAGAGCGCACTCAAAGCTCTGAACCTGATTCACTACTCTGTAAGTCGAAGTGGTCCGTCTCGAGCTTGGCCTGCGAGCATGTCCATCAGCTTTAGCGCCAGCTGATATACCTCGTGCCCATTCACAGGTCCTCGAGGTCAGTCCCACGCCCAACAATAGAGAGAGCGGCACTTTTGGCAGAAGCTTCTTCTGAGAATACTTGTCGCCAGGGTTGCCTGGAGGACACTTCGTTGGCAGTACGATGAGCGCCGTCGTGGATGCCAGAGTAGTCCCCTTTCACAAGTCCTTCGTCGGTCACAGCGTATGTATGCAATTTTGAGTAGCGTCACGCCCTTCTCGACGATTGCACCATCAAGCCATGGGATCTCTTTGCAATGTCAGCTTCTGCGACGTTTGGGAGCGACTCTGGCTAAAGAAAATCGTCAAGAGGAACGGATGGGAATGATAGGGCATTGCAAAGCGCTGACATCTTTGCGAGGCCACGCCGTTGTACTTTCTCCCTTCTTGCTCTATGAGCGACGCGCCACCATGACTCTCTCGCTGCCGTGCTCGTCACGATTTGCGTTGTGCAGTCGCCCCTGACGATGTCGCGAGCGTCGATTGGAGGGCTGGGAGAGGCGTGCGGTCCAATTGTATACATAACCTCTGATTGACTGCACCTACCGCACATTCCCGCATCGCAATTAAGAGCAGTTTGAGTTTGAGTCTTGAGTCAACCGTGCCTGCAGAGTCCAGAGTCATGCATGAACTCACGTGACTGTCGACCGTAGCCCGGTTATCGCGGTGCTCTGATGAGTCTGATGAGTCAAGAGTCCCATCAGCACCAGCATATGCAAGCGGAGAGGGTGCGGACCGTCGAGCTGCTGCCATGCATGTGCAAGTTATCAGTACGATGATTGCGATGTGGCGCCGAGGTCGTGCGCGTCCTGCCTTATCGATCGCGTAAGTGCCAGCATCCTCTACAGCTATATCGCGTGCCATCCTCTGTACCGCACAGCTAAAGGGCGAGCCATGCGCGCGAGCTACGGTGCACGCGCGTGACTCACGACTGTTGTGGGTGTTGATGATCACTCGGTGCGATATACCTGCAGTAGTCGCGTGGGTCGTGAGTCGTGAGTCGTGAGTACCAGCAATCGTGAATATACCCTACCGGTATCGCCAGCTGATGCATGCAGCTGAGGGTGCGCCATACGTGCGCAGCAAGTCGTGAGTGCAGCATAAGCATCCAATGCAGCAGGTTTGCGCCGCTGCTGCTGCTGCTGCAGCTGCACAGCAATCCAAGCGTGATTCAGCTGATCTAGCCTCAGCTCTCCACCTCCATCCATCCACCCTTGACGTGACTCGCCCTGCCACCCGCGCAGCAGGCAAAATTACCCAATCCCTTACACCCGCACTCACGCTCACACCCCAACTCCTCACACTCACACCACCACTTGTCACACTTGCCCACACGTGAGGGTACGCTTCAGCATTTCAAAGTTCCCTGCACGCAACATCGCGAGCGCGCACTCGACCCCCTTGGCTGCGGTCTCTCGCATCTACTACCACTTGCTCAATACAAAGTCAAGCCTGACCGCAGCTAGCAGTCATGACAACCTTCTCAGCCTACGCCTCGCGATTTCTGTCAAACGGCGGTGGTTTGTCCACCGGCGATCCCTATCAGCTGGCTCGAGCAGGTGGTGGACACGGCGCCGAAGCATTCATGGCCTCGGCGAGCAGCCAGTCTAGTCTGGATGCTTCCACCAACTCTGACGGCTTGCCCGACGAGCAACACAAGCATGCGTACGGCCCACTTCGAGCTGCTGGGAACGTTTCACAGGTCCTTCGAGGCGAGAGCGGAGCGTCGCTGAACCTGATGGGCGCAAGTCGATATGGCCTCGCTAGCGCACACATTCAGGGCGGCGCGAGGTCGGGCAAGCGACACGTACCAACTGGAGCATCGCGCGGAGATTTCTTGTCGGCCCACGACATTGCTGAGGTGGATGTGGATCAGCGTCAAGATGAAGAGGAGGAGGTGGAAGCAGATGCAGCAGAGTGGCGCCGGCATCACCGTTTGCTACCCCACTTGAATGACCGCCAAGCGCGGGTCGGGGGCTACGGTGAGGAGGATGGAGATTCACCCAGCGCTTCTGTCAGCGCTTCGCGGATAGCGGGCTTTCAGGGGTTCGACGAGGCCGACGAGGGAGATCCCTTTCTCAGAGAAGATGCAGTGCAGAATGCGGAAGCCAAAGGCGGAAAGAAGACGATCTCTTCGACTTCGACCAAGAAGCGACGCGATGTGCCAACCAATCAGGCACACCACAGAGCTCGAGGTTGGCTTGCGCACGCCGAGTCCAGCATCGCAGCGCCCCTCCGCCATGCGGTCAGCAGCGTCCCGGACCCAAAAGGCTCCAGGCGAGTGCCTGCATCGGCTCGCGCCTCGGGCAGAGGCTTGGCAGGAGATGACATTTATCGCGATCTAGACGAAGCCTCATCCAGCACATCGGCCGATGAAGCCCCGCGCAGCTCGGCCTTCGAAAGGAGAGCATCAGGCCCCTTTGGCAGCAGTCACAGGGAGTCATCGGCTGACGATTCGTCCAGCGATGCCCTCACTTCTTCGACTGTCTCTTCTCCCCAGATCCGCAGTGGCGAGGCGAGGAAGTCCGAGCTGGAACGCCAAGGTCCGCATGGACACGGTGTGGAGCACTCTTCCATACGAGAGCCCCTGCTGTTTTCCGAGATGGCGTCATCTAGCCCGTCGGGATCACTTCCTCTGCCTTTGCCTGGAGCGTTTAGAGGCTCTACGACGCGGCAAGTCGCGGCTGACATCTACGCTTATCCACACCCACCTGCGAAGAGTGGCTGGACACCCTGGGCGACCGGAAACACAGCGCAGTGGAGAGAGTGGAAAGACAAGGGTGCACTGTTGGCTTGGGTACTTGTCATGCTGTTCACTGTTGTCATCGCGGGAGGCGCAGCAATCGGCGCACCAGTGAGTATCCGTAACGGCGCTTCAAGGGGCGGACGTGGAGCTGAAGCAGCGCTCTACCTGTGCTACCCCCACCTTTCGCGCATCAGTCGGAGGGCTCATCGTCAGGTTCACCCAACCGACCATCGCCATACTACACCTTGACCCGCTCAGTACCAATGCTTTTTCTGGTGGCCCTTCTTTCAGTCGGCGCAGCCGTAGCCAATCTTTTCGCGCTTCGCCAGGTCGCTCGGATCGGCGGCTCTCACTTTCTGAAATCCAGCCTGGTGGGTATTCCTCTGTGCTTGACACTCGGCTGGGCATGGGCCTTCGCCGGCAGCTTCATCTACGACGACGAGAAATGGAGCGGTGGTGCTTGGAGCACGGTAGGGTGAGTGTCCGTTTGAGTTGCGATTGATTGATACACTGCGGACGCTGACGGCACCTGTGCTTTGCTTGTGCCAGACTTCGCTTCCTTTCCTTGGTCCCGGTTCTTGCCGCTGTATGCTTCGCGCGCGGAGTGTGGAAGCGTCGCTTTGCCCTCTCTCGCACCACAGCTGTCTTGGAGCTCTCTTCGCGCGTCGTCGCGTCCCATCCAGCCTTGTTGATACTCTCACTGGCGCAACTAGGCGTCTTTCTTCTTCTCAGCGTGCCCATGATCAGCATCTTTGCACGTCTTTTCCTGATCGGCCACTTTGGACGATTGGGTAAGAGCGTCGCTGGCGCGGACAAGGTGTGGCACACTGATGCGAGCGCAAAGTGGATGGCTTGGACGACACTTGGTGCGTGGCTCTGGACATGGGCAGCGCTACGAGGAGTCCAAAGAGTTACTGTTGCCGGTGTCGTTTCTCATTGGTACTTTCACCGCGAAGAGTCCGAAGATGAGAGAGAGCAGGATCAACAAAATGACGTATACTCTGACGAAGGATCTATACCCAGTCCAGCACCTGGTGATTGGTTGACAGCGCCGGGGTTCGCCGATCCCGCCATTCCACCGCCGCCCACGCAAGTCGACATAGTTCGCGCATCCTTTGCTCGCGCAACGGGCCCGGCTCTTGGAACTGTGCTCATCGCAGCCCTTGTCCTCTCACTCGCACGCCTCGCGGCCTTGATCGCTGCAACCGCTCGCAGTGCATCTCGACAGCTTGCATACCCTCGTGTCCCCGCGCTTTTGAGCCCTCTAGCGCACGCTGCAGCTATGCTCGCTGGGCTATCGGCCGTGCTCAAAGGTGTTAGCGACTTTGCACTCGTCTACACCGGCATCACTAACGAGCCTTTCTGGTCTTCTACCAGAAGAGCCGGCAGGGTTGCAAGGGGCGTCTCTGTGAAAGGGGTCATGGATGGTGAGTTTGCTATGCGGATCGAATCTTCCGCTGAATACGTGACTGACGCTAACCTCCTGCACACTTCTCACAGGCCTGATCATCCATCTCATGCTGGATCTCTTCACACTTTCCCTCTCGTTGCTCAGTGGTCTCGCAGGATTCTTATTCTCAGCACACAACCTCCATGTGCCTGCCGACGCGCCCCTCGTTGGCCTTCTCTGCGCACTGGTCTCTTACTGGACGCTGAGACTCTGCGCCGACGTTGTTGGAAATGCTGCAGACACGCTTTTCCTTTGTTTCGCCATCGACGAAGCTGGGGGCGAGACGCACTGCAAGGCAGCGAAGGAAGCGTTTGAAAAGGCCGCCGATCAGTTGGACACTGAAGGTGCTTTTCAAGCGTGAAGCGATCACTCATTTTTGAAATGGCGCGGCACAAATCGACAACCTTTCTGCTTGAGCCATCGTACCCCTCTCATGACGCCCTTCGATCACCTCTCCGTACCGTTTCCCATCGAGAGCACTCTCTCACTGTATTCTGTCTGTCTGACACCTGCGACGCCTCCCACACAATTGTATGCGCTTTGAGTTACACCTGCACAATCATGACAGCACGCTTGCAAGCTGAAGAGAACGTCAGAAAGCGCATCAACTTCCATCGCGCCCTCGTGGGCCATGTGAGAGTTGCCGGGGCGCACTTTTGCGCTCAGCCGCAAGCATCGCTATCGCTACGTTTGCTGCGCAAGACACCACGCCAAGAATATGCAGCAGCACCTTCCGTTCCCCGCGACTGGCTGTATATATATCTGTCAAAGTTTACAAACAGCATCTACGGCCACACCACAGGAAAAGTGCCTGGTCCCGTCTGATCCCAGAAGCGGAAACCCTGTAGGGTCTGGTCAGTAATGAGGTGGGGGACCACTCGTGAATCCCAGATGCCGTAGGTTTTTGATTTTTTTTTGGCAACCTCATTCCCCTCGTCACGTACCTCCCTTTGATGCTCATTGTGACTCCTCAAACGCCCAACACCTGAATTACTTTCAGGGACTACCGCGAGCGATTGTCTAGTATGGCTGATGCGCCCCCAACTTGCCCCGTAGGCTCGATTCACGTTCGCCTAGGCAGCTAGCGACCGGAATCACTCACGCCAGTCGGGCTTCCATGCTAGGTATGTAGCCGCACGCAGAATGATGGCACGCACAAGCATCGAACCTAGAATCGTGCATTGTTTCATTCGCTGAGCTGTGCCGTCTACTTTGCACACAAACTCGTGCCCGTTGCAATGTCCCCGCCATCTCTCCCGCCAGTATCCTCCAGGAATGGTAACCTTGCTGTGTAATGGAAAAAAATGTCATTGGCCGCACCGCCTTTCGACCAAGACTAGAGAAACGACTTGCAGAAAGCACAATTGCTTGAGCTGTCAGAAGGTGCGATTGCTGCTGAAAAGTTTCCGAGAGGGTTTAAGTGAGCCGGGAGAAGGAAGTTACGTGACTGTGTCTCGACACGGAGTGCAGTCAGAGAGGGAGGTGCATGGTCTCGCTGCCTCGGGCGAACCATCGCGGCAGCATCGCCCCAGCCTGGTGAAATGACCAAGTGCTGGGCCGTGCGCCAAGATTTAGAGCCCATTGCAAGAACGCTTTGGCTCATCCGTAGATCCTGACTACACCATCTGCACCGCTCGATGCAAAGAAGGGTGCGCTAGGGTGGTAGAGTACGGCGAGCACGCCTTCGGACGACTTGCGGCGGTGTGCGGTGATTTCTTGCACGCAAACCGCTTGCGATGAGCCGGCCTTGGAAGTTTCTTTTGCCGGCTCTACTCCGCTTCCTGTAGCTCCGCCGGTAATGCCGTTGATGTCCCAGAAACGCACGCTGCAGTCATGTCCGCCAGAGACGAGGGTCAGGCCGGCAGGATCGATGTCCAAGGCTGTCACGGCATCGAGATGCGCAAGCATCTCGAATGTGCAGTCTCCAGTACTGAGGTCGAAGACACGAATGTGCCTATCCTCATGAGCGCTGACGAGAAAAGGCAAAGTCGGGTGCGCGACAATCTTGTTGACTTGACTGGCCGGCGTCCCTTGGTAGGTGCTGTCGCTCTTGAGCTTGAGCACTTCCCGTCCGCTTCTCAGCTCGAATAGCTTGACGATGGAGTTTGAGTAGCTGACTGCCACGGTCCGCAAGTCGGAGTGCACGACGCAGACGGATGTGGGTACGGGTCGCTCGGTAGCATCAATAGCAGCAGCCTCTCCTGTTATCCGGCCGTCATTTGTCCCGTGATAGTCCCAGGAGAGCTGCAGAGCAGGTCTGTCGTCAGTTGTCCAAATTTTGACCGTGCCGTCGGCCGACGCAGTAGCCAACAAAAACCCTTCTCCTTGCTGCGGCAATAGAGCCATGTCCCACACTGCCTGAGTGTGTCCAGCCAGACTGGCCAGCTCCATATTCTCGTACGGAGGATACGGAGTGAAGGGCCGCTCAGGTAGCTTCCACACTCGCACACTCGAGTCCATGGATCCGCTGAACATGCGACGCGTGGCAGACGCGACTGCCAAGCAGGTGACAGGGGCTGTGTGACCTCGAAAAGTAAGGACAGGCTCGTTGTCGGCAGCGGTCCGGCTTGGCTGGTCCAACGTAGCCGGGTCCAGGTGCCAAAACTTGATAGTGTTGTCGTCCGAAGCGGAGATGGCATCCGTGGAGTCGAAAGCGATGGCACGAACAGCATCGAGATGGTTGCGAAGCACTCGCTTCGATTTCCACAATCGATCCGCCGCTTCGTCATCAGCTGCGCTCTTCTCTGCCTCTGCACGGGCAGCAGCGGCTTGATCTGCGGGGTCGTGGAGGCTCAAGTTGGCCAGATCGTCCTCAGCACTACGAGAGTTGACCTTGAGAAGCTGATTGAGCTGGCTCGAGGTGGTCGCCAAAGTCGCTGCTTCGGGAGCAGTCTCACCTCCATTTACTGCAGCTTGGGCTTTTCGCTGCCTCTCGCGCTTCTCTCTCTCTCGTTGCCCAGCTTCCTTTAGCTTGGCCCAGTCAGAGGCCGTGGCATCGGCAGGATCTCCGGCACCTCTGTATCGTGCCGTGACTTGGTTGGGCTCATCGTCTTCTGGCAGATCAGCGCCATATTCTGCTGGTAGGTCGGTGGTACCAGCCGAAGGCGCAGGAGGAGGCGCCATCCGGTCGTCAAGTGCAGCTGCGGCTTGAAGCGGCTCAGTCAAGGGACTCTTGCCTTGCACGTCGCCGGTCGCGCCCAGCGGATCAGCTCCTTGATGAGACTCGCTACCTGCCTCGGATTCGGACGACTCTTCCGGCAAAGCCTGCGTAGCCAGAGAAGACCGCGGCGCTCCCAGTGTGCCACCCCTCCCTGGAACTCTGCCTGGAGGCGCGGAGCGACTCCCCAGAGTAAGCCCATCATCCAACGCAGTACCAACAGTCGGGGGAGCATTGTCCAGTAAAGCTTTCCTAGGTCGCACAATGCTGAAACTGCCGCCGCCGGTGCCGGTATAAGCTCTATCGGGCAACGGATTTAGTGTCGATGTGCTAGTCAAATACGAGATCTCCTGCAGACACCTTAGCACAAAAGAAATGAGGAGCGTAATACTCCAAGCTCAGTCTAGTTCATGATCGACGCTCCACTTGAACGTCTCGGTTCTATGCTCACTGTTTGAGATACTCTTGCGCTTTGGCACGTGCCCGTGAATTCTTGGAATTGGTCGTGTTGGAGCGCGAGAGGGAGGCTCCCGGTCCGCTCAGCGTCAAGCCATTCACCGTGCCCATGTTCAAGGTGTTGATGGAAAATGTGGACCCGCCGCGCTGATGTGTGGCTGGCTCCGCAGAGGCCGAGGCTGAGCATATATGCATCAAGGCGATATGGTGAGCCGAAAGGTCCGCATGCTGTGGTGTGCGGGCAGCAGCCGCAGCAGCACTTACGGTCAGATTCCTGTCGTGCAGGAGAGCTTCGTCCGCTGGAGGAGGCAGGTCGATCAGCGCCTTGAAGCGTTGCGAATTTGGTCGCAGGAATGCCTGAAATCGTGCCCTGCGGCCCAGCACCGGCGGCAGTGAGGGTGCTACCTGCGCCGCTAGAGAGATACTTGTTGCTGTAGAAGCAAGTACGGTTGTTGAGAAATTGTGATGAGCCTAGACGCACCCTTCCGGGCAGCTTCGCAAATTGCCGATGGCGCTCACCGCTCCTGTCTGAGTGCGTACTCGAGCATCTTGACGCGCCTCATCAAATCTGTCTTCAGGTTCTCCACGCCTCGGCGCTCTCCCTCGAGCAGTGCAATGCGCGCCTGATGCAGGTAAAGTGGTACAAGGTGAGCAGCGGTGATGGTCAGCGCGAGCGACTCTGCAGAGATTCAAGCCTGCCATGCCGCGGAGCGGCTACTCACCCTCATCTCTGCGCGCTCTATCTCCCACTCGTTGCGATCACGCTCGTGGCGCCGCCACTCGGTCTGCAAGAAGTGCAGAACGCCTCCCAGAGAGTACTCTGGTGGAGCGGAGATCCCAGCTTCGCTAAGATTTTGACCATTGCCGTGACTGCCTGGTGCGCCAGGCGGCCCACCTTGACTCCCTTGCTGCTGCTGCTGCTGCTGCTGCTGGCCTTGCTGCATCTGCTGCTGCTGAGGTGGGCCCATGCTGGCGAACATATGCTGACCTTGAACGGGGCCACCGCCTTGTTGCTGCAAGTACATGCCGTTGGTCAAGAGAGAACTCATGGTGGCGGAGGTGACGGAGATGGCTTTACGTTTGTTGAGTCAGTATCGACGAGGTGCTCCGGCAGCTGCGATATCGAAACGAACACACTGCAAGGCGAGCCAGAGAGATCACAGATGGAGGTCGGACGATTGAGGCACACACTGGCCGAGGTATTGATCACAGAGTGCGAGGACAAATGGATCAGCTGTATGCGCGCGAAACGTCGTCCTTGCCAGCTCAACGCATTGCCGCAACGCAAAGGCTGAGGGGCGTGCAAGGCGCTTGACTTGTCGAGGACCTCTGAGAGAGGCGCTGACGCTGGCGTTGCGCGGACTGAGGTGTTTGCAAGCTGGACAGGTGTGGGCAGAAGGATGTAGAAAGTGAGTGAGCTCTAGTCACGAGTCGCGAGTAGTATAGTGGCACTGGTCAGAGTTGTAGTAGTTGGAATAGTGTGAGTGGTAGTGACGGCCCTGGTCTGCTCGATCATACGCGCAGTCCCGACTTCAGCTGGGCGGGGAGCGCGATCAAAGGACACCATTCACGAGCAGCAGCAGGTGGAAAGCGCAATTGGACGCTTATTAGCTCTTCTGCTGCTGCTTCTGCTGCACCGCGTGTGCGTGTGCGCTATTCCTATGTACTGCTGTACAAGCTGTGCCGCTCGCTACCGCTGCTGTCTACACATCACGCGCACAGCAGCGTGGCCAGCAGCGGCGGGGGTCAAGCGCGATTGCGGCGAGAACAATTGAAATCACGAATAACAAGTCAACAATAAGCGCCTGCCTGCACGCCCCCAGCAGCCAACGCCGCACCGCCAGCAGCAGCAAATATCGACGCATTGGACCGCTCGTTCGTGCGCTTGGATCCCGCTGTGCTTGATCACGTGACCGTGCAGCGCTCGCGACTTGCCCGACTGTTGATCACCTCAAACTCCCACTTGGGGTTCGTGACGCGTGCTGACCGCTCTCCTCTCCGTGAGGGCCTTTTTGTCATGAGCTGATTGACTAGCCAAGTTCATGATCGATTTGGTGCTAGGTTTCACGCCAGCAGCGAGCTGTACTCAATGTTGGGCCCACGCGTGCGCGCAGCGCAAATTTTTACTGTGACACAATCCTGGTGACAGCGCTTCCCTTGACCACGTTCGAGCCGAGAAAGACGAGCACCCATGTGACTTTGAACGCGGCTTCCCTCCCTACTCGCAAGACAAACGGTGGGTCTACGAGGACGGCGTCGCGCGCACAACATCCGGCTGCTGAATGCTCGGCCAGCCATGAGGCCGGGAACAAGGATCAAGTCAAGCTGCTCTGTGCAAGCAAATCTTCGTCAAGATCTGGGTCGATAAGGGCGCGCGACAATTGTAAAGGCTATTGAAAACCATTGCGCATGATGGCATGCATTTGCTTCTGGCTCGAGTATTTCTTCGGAGAAGCGCTCGGCTTGCAGACCGACCTGACCTAAGCTGCGGGAGCACCCTTGACGCGACGCTTGCCATTCTGCCTCGGTCTCTCGCGAATGACCATCCTGTTCCCAGTCCTGGTGCCCGGCTTGCGTGTACGTCCTTCCGTCTTCCAGCCGTAAATCGATTTCGGATGCTGTTAGGAAATCGACATCGAGCCGCGGCCGTAGTCTGAGTAAGTGTTGTCGAAACGTGCCGGCGTCTACGAAAGCACTCAAATCTCACCATATTTGACTTCGACTTTCCTCGACCACCACCATGGGGATGATCGATGCTGGGCGGAGTAAGCGGCCGAGATAGTGAGCTTTCTTGTATATGCCATCAATACGTATCAAGGCGTCGCTGCACTCACGCATTCATAGCTACACCTCGCACCTTGGGCCTGATGCCCAGCCATCTCGATCTACCAGCCTTTCCGAGGCGAATGTGTTCATGATCTATGTTGCTGACCCGACCTACGGTAGCATGGCAGCGAATGGGCACCAGCCGAACTTCTCCGCTCTGCAACTTGACTTGCGCATGCGTTGGCAGATTCTGCTGCGCCCCATCCTGTTCAATTTCTTCGACATCAAAAGCATTGTGAATATCTCCACGCGGCTGTCCAATCGCGCTGCTAACGGGCGAAGACTTGGACCGCTTGACAAAGGCGATCAGCTGCCCCACCGCACCTGCTGATCGGATGAGCTTGGCCGAGCCATGCGGAGTGAGCGATAGATTGTGAATCATCGTACCAATGGGTATGAGGTGTAGCTGCAGCACGTTGCCTGGACGAATGGCTTTGGTGCGGAAGATGCCAATGTCGAGAGTGCTGCTGCCGCTTGCCTCGCCGGGCACGTCTGTGCTGTACCTGAACGACTCAACCGTATCGCCCGCTCTCAGGCCATGGGGCGCGAGGATGTAAGACTTGAGTTTGCTTTCCTTGTGTTCGATGAGCGCGATGTGAGCGCTGCGTCCCGGATCGTACTCGACCCGCAGCACATCTTGCTCTCCAGGCGTCTTTCTGTGGAAATCGACGATGCGAATTCTCCGTTTGTGTCCACCTCCTCTGCCTCTCACCACCACTTTGCCCGAGTTGTTTCGCCCTGCCGTGCTCCTCTTCGCTATGGTGAGCGCCCTTTCAGGCTTCCCCTTGTGCAGGTCCGGTTGTAGCAGATGTCGCACCCATCTGAGAGAGGGCGTCAGGGGCTTGAACGTCTTGAATTGCTGATCCTTGCGCACATAAGCAGAGTATTTGCTGGTGGCTACGCCCGCTTTAGCAAAGATGGAGTTGACTGCCTTCTCTCGCTTTGCCTGCTTGCGCTGAGCTTTCTGAGCCAGTCTCCTCTCCTTGCGGTATGGTCTGTCCGTCGCTCTCGTAGCAGCAGCTACCGCTGCAGGAGACATGAAACTGTTCAGCTTGGAGGAAGATGCAGAATTTTGCGCGCCTGGCGCCAAGGTAGGCTCGCTCTGCTTGACTTGAGGCACCAAGCCCGGAGCTTGCGCACTGCAAGAAGTTGAAAAGGAACGCGCTTGCCGACGAGCATTGCAGGCCGAGACGAGGGAAGGAGAGGAGGAGGAGGAGCAGGACGAGGAGGGAAAGGCGATGTTGGTGATGGAGGATGCGGTCACCACTACATCCACAGATCCATCTGACTGTCTCCAACATCTCGCAGCCAGCGGAGCGACGAGGGCAGGTCGTTTGCCAAGCGCCGTGACCGCGGAAGAGGCAGTAGATCGCAACATGTCTTGCGCACGGTTGCGAGGAGAGGCGGACCAGGGTCAGATGAGCGATGAAGCGACCCAAAGGACGGCTTGCATTGGCCGGCCGGTCACTTGCTCTCGCCTCGCTCGTGGGAGGTGACTGTCCTAGAAGGTGAGCAAGCTGCGGTGTGATGGGCCATTGGAGTGGGTCGTGCTGCTTCCTTGGACCGCTGATCGCGCAACTTTACTCGATCAGAGGCTTGTGTGGTGAGTCAAGAGTGTGCTGTACCAATGCCATATGGACACGAAACAGAATCAAATGGTAGAGCAATCGTCAATCGTCAATCTTGAATCGTCTGCGCAGCTCACGACGTTAGTTGTCATTTCAAGCGTCATTGATATTACATTCGCGATTCGTGATTCAAGATTCAAACTCGTGGTTCAACGTCAACGCGCCGTCCATGCAGCGATCTTTTTCGGATGCCCGCGTCATTCAATTGTATACGTCAGCCAACTTCATGCAGCTGTCATTCAAGATTGCTCTCGATTCAGTTGTGGACGTTGCCATGGCGCGTGCACGCGTGCAGCCGTGCTCACGACTCGAAGTCAGACTCACACTCTTGACTCAACACTCTTGACTCAAGACTCGACAATCAATCACGAGGGCGCGCGCGGCAGCAGGACGACCATCGACAAGCAGCACGTCATAGGCGAGCAAGCGTCCATCGTGAATCGCCATGACAAATTACGCAGCGACTAATAGCAAGGGACACGACCGAAGCACGATGAGCATGAGCTTGACCTTCGCAGCAGGACCTTAAAACGATGAAGATGTATGACTTTTCGATCGTACGTAGCTCTCGCGCGCAATACGCAACGAAGACTCTTGGATTAAAATTTGTGAACATGTCGAGTCTTGGAGCTGGAATTCAATTGCGAGCAGTGATTAGTTTGTCGCGAATCTTGAATTCAAGTTTTCATTCATTGAGTTCGGATGCCTTGCTGCTGCATGGGCGCCTGCAGCTGCGGCTGGCTCGGCCGACAGCGCATCCGCTCAATTGGGCTGGCCGCGCCGCGCCCACCCGCGGCATCCGCGGCAAGCCTCATATATACCAGCGTGAGGAGACCATAGGGCTCATTTGTAGCCGACATTGATCCCAAGCCATGCTTCGATCATGGCTCTCGATTGGAGCGCTAGCTGGACGGAACACACGCGCCTAGGTCAGGCGAGTGCTGAGCACGGCTATGGTCAAGCGGTTGAGTTGTTGAATCGTGAAGGTAATGGTCGGCACAGCATGTGCGGGTCCATGCACTCACGTGATGCGCATTGCGACCTCTGATGCTGCTGCTGATGCTTCCCGTCCAAAAGTCAAGGTTGACCTCTGCGCGCGGCAAGTTGCCCGAGCAGAGGCATCCTCTAGCAGCAACAGTCACACCCAAGTGCCGCAGTGTCAGGCTCTGGCGCTGACCTCTATATAGATGATTCATGCCCTTCAACTGAAGCTTCCCGGTTGGGTTCTTCGCTGAGCAAAAGGCCGAAGGGTTTCATAGAGGCACGAGTCAAGAGTCTGCTCTGCAATCGTGACTACGTAGTCGAAAGAAGTACGCTACCGCGACACGATCGAGGTGCGCAAGCACGCCGGACTACATACAACATATAGTCAAGAGTCAAGTCACGAGTCATGTAGTCAAGAGCAGCATGGTAAATTGTTATATACGTGCATGCCGCATCCTGGTGACTCTTTCAATTTGGATTCAAATTGCGCGTGGTGATCGCGGGCGGGCGAGGTGCATGTGAGCGCGAACCACACCGCTGTGGCCGCCATGCATGCGTAGCCTGCAATTTGAATTGCATCGGCCTGAGCTTTGCACCAGCAGGTCACGAGCGGGTGGGCGCGCATGCGGCCAGCCAGCGGCAACTTGCGATAGTCAGCCAGCTCGCGTCCTTCTCAAACCACCTCACTGACTCGTGACTCATCTTCATTAGCACCACCATAGTCAGAGCCTTCACGCAAAGCACGTTCACCACCCTTCTTTTTGGATCTCGTATTTCGCTCACCATGTCCGCCACCATCGAAGAGATCGCCGACGACGTCAAGGACGTGAGTATCCAGTCACATCCTTGCTTCCTTCCTGGCAATGCTGCAGATCAGCATCGCTGGTCGTGCAATACGGAATGACCAGCTGTCAAGGGCAGAGCTCCAGCCAGATACTCGGTCACGAGAGCGAGAAAGAGGAGGCACAGGGTGGGCATGTCGTAGGGCCCTGGCGGTGGTGAAGGAAGGCGAAAAGCGCTGGTTGGGAATGTTGTGCGCTCGCTCTTTGCTCGTCCCAGATGAGCTTGCAAAGCTGATTTGATTGCCTATCCATTCTCAGCTGCAGGTGGAGTCCGATGGCGAGGGTCAGGCAACTGGAGGAGACGTGACGATCGGCGAGCATGTGCTCTCCAAGCCTGAGCGAAAGAGCCGCAAGAGCTTGCAAGGCATCGGACTCAAGCGTGTGCCTGGAATTACCCGCGTCACCATGCGCAGACCCCGCGGAGTGAGTATTTCGGCAGCGACTGAGAGGGAGCATGCGTGCGCGAGAGAGAGAGGAGAGACGGGTGTGTGGCAGGGAAATGATGCTAAGAGGTGGATGCATACGAGCTCTCCGTCCAGCCCGGTGCTCGCGCATACCCGGGCGATGAGCATGCACACGAACGTCGTGTGGGGGACGATGCGATTCGCACAGCTCGCAATGGTATTCATTCCAGCTGCTGACGTTCCCTCCTCGGCTACGACATCCGCGTTGTGCAGCACCTGTACGTGATCGCTACGCCCGAGGTGTACAAGTCATCCACTGCGGATGTCTACGTCGTCTTTGGCGAGGCCAAGTCGGAGGATCAGTCCTTCGCCGCTCAACAAGCCCAAGCTCAGCATCTGGCTCAGCAAGAAGCGCAAGAGAAAATGCTGGCCGAGAGCTTTGCCGCATCTCAGGCAAACTCGGGGGCTGGAAAGGAGAAGAAGGAGGAGGAACCCGAGAGTGACGGGGAGATCGACGAGACCGACGTCAATGCCAAGGATATCGAGCTGGTCATGCAGCAGGTGAGTCACACACCGTCTCTCTAATCAGCGAGCGCTTCATGGACCGGTGTGTGCGATGTCACTGCCAGTGTGTGCGATGTCACTGGCGCCGGCAAAACGCCCGCATGAGCGCCGAGCGGTAAATCCGAAAGCCAGCTCTTCGAGGGCATCAAGAAGTTGGATGGAGGGGCAGGGCCACGACATTCACCGCGCATAGCTCCATGAAGCTCTTGAAAGCGTTGCTGACCCACCATGACTGGATGCCGTCCCCCAGGTCTCTTGCTCCCGCCGCAAGGCCGTCAAGGCTCTGAAAGCTTCCAACGGCGATCGTAAGCATTATCATTCGAATACTGATGCGAGGTGTGCGACGTTTTGCTGATGAGCGACCCGCTGCCTGATACTTGTCCCAACTGCTGTCATCTCAAACAGTCATCGTGAGTGCATCAAGTTTCATTGTGATTGCGCTTCTTCAGGCGAGCCGAGTGCTGATCAAGATCAACCCCACACGTGTGATCTGTGCCGCGCAGAACGCTATCATGAGCGCTTCGTAGATGCAATCTGCACCGCTCACGGCGGAGCCCGTTTGTGTATCGAATCACAATTCCGGTGCCTATTCGTTCAGGCTCTGCAAAATTGCCAGAAGGCACCGCTGTCTACTGTGCACAACAATGACAACAGAATGATACAAAAATTCCATTCGCCTCTTCGCTCGTTGGCTGTGGGCGCCAATGAGGCCATCAGGGCGCTGCGATCACGATGTGGCAGCTGCGATAGTGCTGCGCGTTTACCGTTTGCGCCGTTTAAAAGAGGTAGCTAGCACGACTCGCTGCGTGACCATCCGCACTCAAAAGGGCCCCTGGCATGCATCGTGTGCTCCGCAGCGGGAATGAACACAGCGGCCATAAATTTGCCGCCTGCCCGCTGTGCTCTTCAGCAGCTCCGCAACCCGTATTCAAGACCCATTGCTGGAAAGAAGTCGAAGCTGACCCGGCCGGCTCCTGATCCACCACTGGCTGGGTTGCAGCAGCGGCTGCGGCTGCAGCTGTAGCAGCCCCAAAGAGACAGCGACTTGACGAAGGTCGCGTCGGTCTTCGTGAGCTCTTGAATGCTCCACTGAGGCCTACCGGGCAACCCGTTGACCCTCGATGCATGTTGATGAGCTGATGGGCTGTGCAGATGTTTGCTAACCGCAGGCATAATTCCTGCCTGCCCGTCGGTCGAAGTCCCTCCACCCTGATCGTGACTGCACCAATGGGGCTGGTGCGACGCCTAAAACAAGATATGCCATATGAGAAAGAGGGCGACGATACCGCCGAGGATGTACATTGTGAGCAGCCTGTTGCTCTTTGCACCTGCGACCACCTGTCTTGTGAATCGAGAAGACGTGGAGCCTAGCCTGTTGGAAAAGGCATCGAAGGACTCCGACTTGAATGCAGGGACCGTGTGACGGCTGTCAGTGCGGATGCACTTCCAAAGAACAGCAGGCCACCAAGGATGTCTGACTCACGGCGTCTGCTAGAAGTCCTGTGCGCTGCGACTCTACATCGGAATGGATATCCGTCGTGACGCCGCGCTGTGACGAGGCGCAGCAAGCGCATATATGTCAAGGGACGGGTGAGAGCGTCATCAGTGTGAAGGTGCGTGCGCGCAACCACGACTGGTGTCATCCGTCTGCTGGCAGCTCGAGTGATCACTCGAGCACGCAGCGGAACGGCGTAGCGCCCAGCGCATTCAAGCCTGTCCCATCCTGCCCTGATCGTCATAGCATCGCCACGCTATGCTGACAAGACCTGTGGCGTAGCTCAGCTGCAACTCACGAGAGCTTTGACCTTGCTGAGCAGCTTGTCGAGCTGATCGTCGTTCTGACTCTCGTACGTTTGCTCGGCGGATGACATTGCTGCTTGGAAGGCCAGGGAGGTATAGGCAGGGGGAGGGTGCCGCGTCTATGCCTTGCCGCTTCCTGAGGATGGAAATGGTGAGGACGTATGTGTAGGGAAGATCTGCGAAGCTTGTGGGCTGGTTGCTACGATGCTATCAGTGTTCAGGAAGGGTGAATGATGGAAACAGCAAGCCGCAAATGGCGTTCATCATTCAAGACAGTCATTGCTGGCTTTTAACTCAAGACTCTCGAGTTCCACAACGCCGCCGCGTATAAATCAAAACCGCGGAGGCTGCTCGCGTGCTTTCATTCAGATTCATGATTCGATCGCGCCGAGTATCGTTGAGTCACGAGTCATCACGAGTGGAGAATCACACCATGTTGTCACGTGAGTCAATCTGGATCCAAGAATTTTTGAATTCAAAATTCGGTTCTTGACAGCATCGTGATCCGAAATTGCGATATCTACTCTTGACTGCTCTTATCTACATCTTTACTCGTGACTCAAGACTATGAATGGTGCGTGCCGTATGGCCGCGCATGAAATCACAACGGCGCGTACACAACCTTGAACGTCAGCACTCTTGACTCTTCTTCACTATAGCTGCGTCGGCGTTCAGCAAAACATCTACTGCGCGCTCTGATTAGTAGACGAAGGCACACTGCACTTTCCACCACAGCCCTGCTCTCATCACTCGATCCCAGCGACGACGCCGCCCAACGATCGAAGCAGACCGACAGCAGATGGCGAGTTCATAGAAGGCATAAGCATTCCCGTCTACCTTCTCTCAACCCACCGGTCACCTTCACACCGCACGCATAGCAGCCCTCGCCGCACCACCATACTGCCACGACCCCTACGTCTGGAAGCTCCTTATCATCACCATGACAAGCTCGAGCGACACTGTTCCGGACGATCACTACAGGATTACTTACGAAGAGGTGCACGTCGTAAGTATCATAGAGCACTGGCAGATATGAGCGTACATGCTTTCACAAGCATTTGACGTTTGCTAGCATACGCCGGCTCGATGGGCTGCTTGCTAACGCTAAGCTTCGCCACCGGCGTTGCCCTTCGCGTGCTGCCACAACCCCTAACCGCAGCATATATGCAATGCAGCCCGCAAGATCAAGCAGGACTTTGATCCCGTGAGTTCTGATCGCCTTTTTTTGTGAGAGCTGTACGCTAAAGCTACATACGATGCATGCCTTGAACACCAGGACGTGATTCTCGCCATCGCAGGCGGCGGTCTCTTTCCTGCTCGCGTTCTTCGCACATTTCTCAAGCGGCCATCCCGATTGGATCCGACAAAGCTGCGAAACGTGCCCATCAACGTTGTGTCTTTGGCGCTGTACGAAGAAATCGCCAACTCATCCGCAGGTGCTCTGGGACGAGAGGTGCTGAGGACGCAGTGGCTGGATGCGAAGGCGATCAGAGGACAGAAGGAGGGAGGCGCTGCAGAGGAAGGCAAGGGCGAAGGGCTGCTCGGGAAGCGCATCCTGATCGTGGTGAGTGTTTGCAAGCCACCGTGAGCTTGAGCTGCTCACTGCTATGCGATGCTCATCGAGCGCTTCTTTCCTCGACAGGATGAGGTGGATGACAGCAGAACGACGCTGCAGTATGCGTACAACGAGGTGAGTCGTATGCCACGGTAGCTGGTGGACACTTGCGTGCTCGGCTGAACGAGCCCGCACACCTGTTGCAGCTGCTCAAGGATGTTCGCAAAGAGATCAAAAGCTTGTCACCTCAAGAGCGAGCCGCGCTCCCGCCTACGCGATTTGGGATTTTTGTGTACGTCGTGACCATCAGGATGGGCGTTTTGCGTCAATCACACTGACCGTGTCGTCGCCCTCGCTTCTCACACAGAGTGAACAACAAGCTACGACAGAAGCGTGGCGTACTGCCAATCTATCCTGAAGGCACTTCCACAGAGAATGAACCGTTAGATGACGCGCAGGATGGAGACAAAGTTGGCAAAGGGTGCTTCTACTGGGCTGCAGAGACCACGGGAGATGTGTGGATCGACTATCCTTGGGAACAAGAGTGAGTTCTGGCTTGAGCCGTCACAGGGAATTGTAATGATTGTCGGGACGCATGAGGATACTGATCACCAACATCACATTTGTTGGCCAACCCGACGCAGCGACATCATAGAGCATAATAGATTGGCGGCTGTAGCTAAGAAGCTGGGAGTAAACCAGCCAGTTGGGGTGCTCCAGGCAGCTGCTTCTGCGTCGGCGTGAATTTCGATTATATCAAGCACGGCAACATCGACCCTTGCGTTCTTGCGCCTAGGCCACGATCGACGTTCAATCGCCAGCTCCTGCCAAGTCTTCCTTGGCTCATAAGTGCGCGCAACTCTCAATTCTGGAGGCAGTCAGAACAGGGTGTTCACGCAGCGTGCCGTGAGCCATAGAGTGTCGTGAGCGTCCAGAGTCCTCTCCCGTGACCGAGCGTATTGTGAGTGTGCCCTCATATTTGATTCTCTGTCTGACAAGCCCGTGGGTTGCGGTGTGCCTTACGTATATTCTCACAGCAGGCATTGCTCGAGCGTGACTTTGATTTGACTCTTTGGCATTCGGAGATTGAAAGATGGCTGGCCCCCATCCAGCTGATGCGTGCCGCTCGCGGTGCCTGACCGCGATGGCATGGAAGCACGCGTGCCAGCCGCTGCGCCACTCTTTGACTCGATAGTGAGGCCAAATACATACAAGAAGCACAGGCCAGAGCGGACAGCGTGCAACTCTTACAACACTCATCAGGCTGCATGCTGCAGAGGACAGCTGTCGCAGTATACTGTACCGCGCCGGTGCAGGATAGAAGGGCGCGGAGGTTGGGCTGTCATGCGCGCCAGCCGCGTCTCTTCCTCGAGGGCCAAGCGCATATGCCTGCGCGCATGCCTGCCCTGCTGGCCTGCTGCCCCACCGACCCGCCATAGCTGTGCTGCAGCATACATGTCTTGCCATCCTTCCTGACGTGCGTAGCTGTGCGCTATGATCACTCGATCGTAGCTCTGACATGCACACATCTGGCTCACGCCTGTGACTCGTGACTGGAGCGATATGCGCTTGGCGCACACCCACCAGCAGTTGATACAACCTGTTCGACACGATACGAGCCTTGCACTTGCCTTCGCCTCTCACGCATCTCCTCACATTTCTTACCTTCGAAGACTCTTCTGACTCTGAATTGCTGGTTCGCCATCCGACCCTGGATTCGGATTCAGTAGGACTTGAACTTTGAGCCTCCACCAGCGGCTCCACTGCCCGACCATTCCCTTTTGGCGCTCAAGCTCGCGACTGCCACACCCGCTTCGCGCTTGCTCGCCGTACCGCATCCTTGTTGGTGTTGTGAGCGCATCACCTCGAGCCTCTGTCGGACGCCTTCGCTCATTCTTCTTGCACCAAGTCACAAGCCGTCGATCCGCATACCTGCCTTGCAGAGTGGCTTCTATCCATTCGCTTGCGGCCCATCACTTGCCAGTCACTACACTGCGCTCCCGCCGCCGTAGCCGCCGCCGCCGCCGCGTAATTGTCGGCCAATTCCCAGCTCGCGGTCGATTGTATCGATCGATCAATCAATCAAAGGTGCACGGCCACTCCATCCTGCATCTTCAATATAAGGCGCAGTCAGTGGAGGCGGCACAGCACCGGGCAAGAGTTGGAGGCAAGCCGCTTGACGGGAACGACGGCTGCGACTTTGAAAAGCGTGCGTGTGGTGAAGGTGCCACGCATAGCATAGGGTGCTGCAAGCGTAGCAGCGGGCGAGGTCATTGAATGGATTGCAGTGAATCCCTTGCTATAGATCTGCTGCTTGCTGGCTTTGTGCGCGCTTTTCCTCCATGACCTTGAACGCGCGCTCCCCGCACAATCACCCAGATACCCGAGCATCCCCTCCGCACCATTACACCATCACACAGCGACCCTCTCATCAAGCCCTCGACTTTGGATCCCCATCTTCACGCGCAGCAGACAGACGTGGTAGCGCTAGCAGCAGCGGCGACGGCAGTGGCAGCGGATCACCATCCCAAGACTCCAACTCTAAAGTCACGACTCGAGGAGGAGAAGAGTACGAGCTGAAAAGAGCGTACGAAAGCGGCCCTACTCTGCCCTTCCACTTGAGCAACACCGCAATGTCTTCGCAGGATCGCACCAGATTCGCCGTGCAGGGCGGCTTCGACCCTTACGCATCCGTCGAGAGGCTTCCAGCTGGCTACTTGCAGGCTGGCGAGGACAAGGTCAGGGAGAAGGGTGCGGGTTCGGGCATCGCTGCATACGCTAGGGCAGGACTGGATCCAGTCTCTGCACCCACCTCGTATGCTCCCAGCACAAAGGCGCGCTACGCTAGCTTGATTCCCGAAAAGAGACCACCCAAGAGTCCAGTGAGTGGGAGCAGCACATCTTGACGCAACACTGTCCGGTGGTGGCTGGACGGCCAGCAGCGTTCTTCGGTGCGCACCATGCCCATTACTCACCGTCGCTCACAAAAGCTACTTTCGCCACCATCGACGCTCTTCCTTCGCAGCTCGAACACGTGTCTTCTCTGGCTCAGTCAGAGACGGCGATGCTGCTTTTCTACACCTTTCTGGCCCTCTTGACGCGCCTATGGGGTATCGGCAAGGGCCCGCAGGTGATTTGGGACGAAGTGAGTAGAGCGATAGACTGGCGAAGCTGTCGTATTTTTGGCGGCTTCGACGTTGCTGACTAAGCTTCTTGCTCTGTCAGGCCCACTTCGGCAAATTCGGCTCGCATTATCTCAAGCGTGAATTCTACTTCGATGTACACCCGCCTCTGGGTAAGATGCTCGTTGGCTTGGCCGGCCTACTGAGCGGCTACAATGGGCATTTCGAATTCAAGAGTGGAGAGGCGTACCCGGCCAATGTCAACTACGTTGGCATGCGAGTCTTTTTGGCCTTGTTTGGCGTCGCCATGGTCCCCTTTGCTTGGGCCACCAGTGGCGGTTTGGGCTGGAACTGGCGAGCCAGGCATGCCCTCACAATCATGGTGCTTTTGGGTGCGTAGAGGCACATTTGGTTTCGAAACTCTCGAAGCAAGCAGCTACGACTATAGCTGACGCTCATGTCTTGGGACGCTCAGATAACGGCTGGCTTGTCATTTCGCGCTTCATCCTACTCGACTCTATGTTGCTATGCTTCACCTTTTCGACGGTGCATGGATTGATCATGTTCCACGGCCATCAGCATCGCCCATTTTCGCAGAAGTGGTGGTTCTGGCTAGCATACACGGGAGTCTCAATTGGGTGCGTGATGAGTGTCAAATGGGTAGGACTTTTTGCCATGGCATTGGTCGGGCTTTACACCATCGAAGATCTGTGGGACAAGTTTGGGGACCTCAAGATGCCCGTTCGGGCCTATGCCAGGCACTGGTGTGCCAGAATCCTCTGCTTGATCGTCGTTCCTCTGCTCGTCTACATGGCTTCTTTCAAGATGCACTTCCTCATCCTCAACCACTCAGGCCCTGGAGATGCTCAAATGTCCAGCTTGTTCCAAGCTCACCTGAAGGGCAATGACTTCGCCACTTCGCCTCTTGGTGCGTCTCGTCCTTTGTAGCCTTTTGTATTATAGTCGGTTTGGCACGCTGACCCAAAGAAGTCCTTCTCGCAGAGGTCGCGTACGGCAGCAAGGTCACTTTCAAGAATATGGGGTATGGTGGCGGCCTACTTCACTCGCACGTTCAGACCTATCCCGTCGGATCACAGCAGCAGCAGGTCACCTGCTACCATTATAAGGACAACAACAACGACTTCATCGTCACACCGACGTGGGACGAGCCAAGGCTACCAGTCGGAGGTGGGAGCGACGACCCTCCTCGCATGTTCAAGAACGGCGACACATTCCGCTTCGTACACGAGGCCACTGGGCGCAATCTCCACAGTCATGCCATTGCCGCTCCGATCACAAAGGAGAACTACGAAATCTCTGGCTACGGCAATGCTACCGTTGGAGACTGGAACGACCACTGGATTGTCGAGGTGGTGGACGACCTGGCCACCGGCAAGAAGGTTCAGAGTGGTGAGGTGGTGCGCAGTTTGACGACTCGGATGAGGTTCCGTCACAAGAATTTGGGCTGCTACATGAGAGCCGGTAGCGCGGTCTTGCCCCAGTGGGGATGGAAGCAGATCGAAGTTAGCTGCGATAAGGAGAACAATCCAAAGGACGAGCATACGTACTGGAACGTTGAGTCCCACCACAATGACAAGCTGCCCGCGGGCAGCGCCAGGTTGTACAAGTCCAGATTCCTGGACGATTGGCTGCACCTCAACGCCGCCATGTGGCAGTCGAACAATGCGCTCATTCCGGATGCCGACAAATTCGACATTCTCAGCTCCAGTCCCTTTGACTGGCTGTATCAATACAACGGGCTCAGGATGAACAGTTGGGCGCCTGAGTCGCGCAAGTACTACCTTCTTGGAAACCCAATCATCTGGTGGGGGAGCACCACCTCTCTCGCTATATTTGCACTCGTTTTCACCTACTACCTGGGTCGAATGCAAAGAAGGCACGCAGATCTCTCTGCTGCGGACTGGAACCAATTTCTCTTTGTCGGAAAGATTGCAGGACTCGGATGGGTGCTCCATTTCATGCCTAGCGCGATCATGTCCAGAGTTCTATGTGTGAGTGGCAAGCAGCTTTGAAGTCCTCCTTTCGAGTCTCAACGACCGCTGACAGCCCTTTCTCGCATGCCACAACTTGCGCTCGTGTACAGGAGTGTCGTGGAGCCCTCATGCGGATCGACTCTACATTTCTAGGGCTTGCTGACATTGCCCGAACGCCTGAACCGCAGACCTGCATCACTACTTGCCTACTCTCTACTTTGCAACCATCATGCTTGCGCACCTCCTGGACCATTTCCTGTGGAATCCGTCCACGGCTCGGTACAAGGGTAAAGGTGGCGTACGAGCACCGCTCAGCGAAGCCCGAAAGAATACCGCCTTTGCGGGCTTCGTTGGTCTCATCTTCGTGGTCTTCTTGATCTTCAAAGATACTGCGTATGGAAGAGAGGGCAAAGCAGAGAACTGGCCATTGGTCAAATGGAGGAAGTCATGGAACGTAAGTGTTGCAGACGGACATTTTGGCCAACGTTTTTGACGTGAAGATGGCGGCGAGCTCTGACTCCTCCTTCCTGCTGCGTCCAGATCCACGATTGATGTGCTGTGTCAAGCAATGCGGCATAGTCGTCTTGCTCCGAAGCCTTGGAGCACACTACACTTCTTTCGAGAGGTGAAGACTCTTCATAAAAGAGATCGCAACTCCCGTCTCATCGGATATTGCAAACCCTGGAACCACCACACTGCGTCCGCGCGCCTGGCGCCTCAGGACAGCCAAATGAACTGGATGCGTTTCGTGAAATGCCTCTGGCTGATTGAGGGTCGTCGTCAGCAGCATGAGCATGTGGCTTGGTAAGCAGTCTGAGTGTGGGAACTTGAAACTTGTTGGCACATCTGAGGAGAACCTGTCGCCGCGACGATGCTCCGCGAGACTTGTGTCCCTCTCTTTGCCTTCCAACTTTGCGCCGTGGTTGTCCGGCGATGCACTAGCTTGGGCTGAGTGTGCTAGGTGCTCGGCGAGATCTTGCACTACATCACAAAGTTTTGCCGCTGTGCCGCTCGGCTAGTTGAAGTCACTCTCCGGCTTACAAGTGGTGGCGATGTGGCCAAAATCGTTACGCGGCATCGTCATGAGACGCAGTCAGTGTGACGCCCACCTAATGTCGGCCATTGATTACTTGTATGCAACGCAGAGTTTGCAAGGCGTGTTGAGCGAAGTCAAGCACCTTCCGGACTTTGTGCGATTCGACCCAGGGCTGATCGTATCCCGGCGTGACTAGTGCCCTTCGCTAAAACCCACAAGCTCTTCTGGCCATTTAATTCGAGCAAGTGTCTGACAGCTTTGCGGAGCCGACAGCGCCTATTCCACTGACATTTACCACGTCGCTGCCCATCGTCTTCCTTAGTGGACATGAGTAGAGTTCGTCAGCGGCGTCTTCAGCTCGAACGCCTCTGTTACTCGTGAGTCTTGCCAGACTTGTACGTCGACATGCAGAGGTGCGTAAAATACAGCCATCTTGGTGCATAGCTGACCGGCGTGAGAGATCTCCCGGTCTTGTCATTGCACACTCCGCACGATCCGTCGGAATCGTCAAGGGGATGATCTCGGATGGCCTTTCGATTCGGCGCAAACTGAGCTATAGTAGCGTTGCAAGACTCGCTGTATCTTGCAAGTGAACGTGACCGTGTTCTCGATGCGTTATGATCGAGTCAGATGGCTTTGTCCTTCATTGATCGACGGACGATCAAGAACCGACTGGGCTTCTGACAGCCGTCATTGAGGACTCGCATTAGCTTCGATTCGATGCCGATTGCCAGACGAGGCAGTCGACTCGGCAAATTGCCGTGGATGCGCACCCCCTCGATGCACTCGCATCGCTCGGAGATGTCTGCAAACCTCCTCGCGCCTGTCCGTCTGAGGCGTCCCGACCTCGGTGATTCAATTCAACACAAGGGCGCGGCGCGCTGACCTCGAATTCGCGTGCTCTGGTGCAGACAGTGATTAATTGAGTGCGTGTGATGGGAGTATGTGGATGCCTGTGACGTCATCGACAATCGTCATCCCCGGCTCGTATCAGGACTCAAAGCTCGCTTCGAAGAATCACGAATGGCAGAGCTTGGACTTAGGCTCGTCCTTGTGACTCTTTCGGCGCATATTCTCACTCATCGAGACCATCCGCCATGGCTCCACATTGCTGCGACAAGTCCGACGAGACGCGTGGCGAGCAAGCGGAGCCCGTCCATCAAATAGTGATGAGGCAAGATCGCCAGGACTCTGTGCAATCGAACACTGCGGCTGTGATGAGCTATTGCGGCAGATGCGGACACCGACACGTATGGAAAGGGGGCTCGCTCTACACGTGTAATTGAAAGCACTTCCGGAACCTCTTGAGAATCTCGACTACAATGCAGAGGATGTCAGGTATGGTCACGCCGTGCGTTCACATTTTCAACTGTGGTCGGATCCCATTCCCCTTCGCGCCCTTGTATCTTGTACCATACCTTTACAGGTGTGACGCAACACGAATGGATCTCCCTTGATCTACCCCTAAACTGTCACGTGCAGTGAGTACTCACGACAACCTCTCTACCAGCGCCAGCTGAGCATATTCGACCCGCCGTCAGCCTACGTGGATGAGCCTGACGCCTGAAATGATGCGTTTGCCAATCAATTGCTGCCCCCTTGCGGCCGACCACATTTGCTCGCCCACGCATTCAGGATTTACAATCCGTCATTTGCAGCGATGGAACTTTGCGCAAGCCATGGTCGCGATGGCAACCGAGCTTCCAGACTGCAAGCAACTTAAGTAGGGCCGCCGCCCGCGACCACGCAGTGCATAGTGCGGTCTTTCCAGCAGCAAGTCGAAGTCGAGAGCTTTTCGAACGTGTCGGGTAGGGCCGCCCCTATGTGTGATGCGTCATGTGCAGCATGCAGCTGTTGCGGTGCTCCTTTCACTCGGAGGGCACGACGAAAAGGAGTGTGAGGGAGTTGCTTGGGCTGCACTCGCGGCTCATCTTTTCGAGCAGATGTTTGGAGCGTCGGTCTGCTCAAAAACGACGTTTGGTCATAGTAAGATTGCTTGGTGTCAAATTGCTATATGCTTGCCCTGTTCACCGTTGACTGCTCATTCATTGATGGTATCCGAGTCGAGTGTGTACAACTGCCGATGAGCTTCCATGACTAGCTCTCGTCTACCATTTGAGCTCTATGTGATCTTGATCTCTACTTCCACCAGGGGGCTGTCTTCCTCATGTGCAAATGGGCTCCTCGATCCCCGTTCAGGTCTCCAGTTTGCCCCAATACCTCCTCCTAATCTGCTCCAGCTCTCTTGCTATCCCAATAGCCTCCTTCATCTCCATCTCCCCATCGAAAAGGCTGAGGTCCTTGACGCCTTCGCATACCCACAAATGTTTTGGCACATCCTCCTCATCGCAGTGTGGGCAGCTCCTGTCAAGGTTCCAGAAGATCCTTGACATCTGCGCTCCGCTCATGTAGTTCCCCGTGGCAAACCGCCACCAGGCGTACGCGTCCCTCTTCCTCCCCGCTTTCCAAAGCTCCGACCACCTTCCCTCTTCCTTGAAGGCTGCCTTTGCTCTCCGCGCTGTCGAAGCTTTGAACTTGAAGACCTCCTGGCCCCCTAGGTGGACTCGCTCCCACTGAGGCCTTGCTCGGGCCTCTACAACGCTTTCGTCGAATTGTATCGGCGCCAGTGCCTTCCGTAAGGCCAATTTCTCTGCCTCGCTGGATGCCTTGAAGCCCTGCAGAAAGTTGCTTACTTTCTTGCGATGCATGCTCGCTCTCATGCGCGGGTCCTCGATTCTCTTCACGAACTCGTTCTGGTGCCATGGTAGCGCGCCAATGTCTTCCGCTGTAGGCTTCTCGATGGTGAGTCGAATTTTCTCCAGGACGGTGAGTAGATTGCGTGTTGTGGCCTCGCCCACGACCCGCTCCGCCTTGAGGCCTCCCTTATTCCACCCGTAGATTTTGTTCGGGTGGCCCAGGAGTCTGGTCAGGGCCTTGTCCAGCCAGGGTGCCCATAAGGGTCGTTGCTCTAGACTCCAGCGTTTCCAGACTGCTGCTGCCGGCAAGCACACCGCTTGCAACCGCACGTCCACCAGACCCAAGCCTCCCATGGGCCTTGGCGACATCAGGACATCTCTCCTGCAGTGTCGGAGTCCCGGGTATACCGTCCTTCCCACAATCCGGCATATCCCTTCGACAAAGGCTTTTGGTGGCGGGCCCAGTGCCATTGCGTGCCACGCTTTAGACAGCACGTGGACGTTCAGGTACGCGATCTTGTTTGGTACACTGGCGTACCTCGAGACCCCTCTCGCTACGACCGCCAAACTCTCTTGTTGTTTTTGCCACCAGGCCAGGACTGCCCGTTCGCTTGTTCGGACATTGATGGGGAAGCCCAGGCATGTCCAGACTCCTCTCACGCAGGTGTTCGAGAATTCGTTGATCCAGGCTAGTTGCCACGATTGCGTTCCCAAGGGAATCATTTTGGTCTTGCCCTTGTTCAGTCGTGCGTTTGCCGCTCTTTCATAGCAAGACAGTATCTCAAAGAACTTGCGGACTGTACGCCAGCACAGCGATACTGTTGTGTCGTCCGCATACGCCACCCAGCCAAGGGATCTGTGCACTGCTTGTTCCCTGGTTAGTGTTGAGAGGAAAGGTTGTAGCGATAGCACAAAGAGAATTGTGCTCAGGCTATCGCCTTGTCGAAGGCCCGTCCGCATCCTTACTGCCGAGGATATTCTGTCTCCCACCAAATATCTCGACCGTGGTGGACGCTTTCCCCAGTCTCCATACAGGCTGCGAATCCTCTTGAGTGTGGATGACGGTACTCCTTGGTGCTTCAAGCAGGCCTCCATCCAGTCCCAGTCGACCCTCTCGTAGGCTTTAGCCCAGTCAAGTGCCGCTAATGCCACGCCTTCGATCGGCTCCTCTCTTGCGCGGTCGAGGAGTAGGCTGAGCTGCAGAGCAATGTCTGATCCGCGCCTTCCGGCTATGAAGCCTGCTTGTGCTTCCGGGACCACTGTCCTGACTAGGGGCATCAGGCGCCTCGTCAAGACCCTCGTATACAACTTGTAGTCTGTATTGAGCAGGCTGATTGGGCGGTATCCGCTGATCTCATGCGCATCTTGTCCTGGTTTCGGGATCAGCCTGACGTGCGCTTCCATCATCGACTCCGGGAGATTGTCTGGGTATCGCAGGATGTCCAGAAGGTGTCTCCTGATCCGCCTGATGCTGTATATCTCATACGGCAGTCCATCTGGTCCTGGTGCTGAGTGTGTCTTACCAGTCGCGCGCACCTTGTCCATGGCGTTGACCAAGTCCCAGTCCTGTATTGGGGCTTCGAGTCCCTTGAGCGTGGCCTCCTCCGTCTCTTCCACTGGTCCCTGTAGTAGTCTCTCCTCATCCTCTTTGGTCCGTCCTCTCTGCTCCGCAAACTCTTCTTGTTGTTTCTCAAAATGTCTTGCTACAAACGCTGGCGCCGTTTCCGGGCCATGCATCCTGCCTGTCGCTCTCTCCCTCAGCGCTGGCATCTCCACCTTCTCCTTGTATTCGTAGGGCCTCCTCACCTTCTCCTCCCTATATCGACTGCAATCCTCCAGGATCTGCTCCCCGCACACTTTCAAATCTTTCTCTATCTGCCGCATCGCCTTGCCAAACCCTTCTGTCTGTTTTCCACCTCTTTCTTCTAGTGACAACATTTCGCTCTCCACTCCTGCCCTCCGTGCCCGCAGCTCTCTCCTTCGCCTCTTTTCCTCCTCTTTTAAACCCCTCACATACCTCCTTGCCCAGTCCCGCAGCTCCGCCTTCGCCCAATCCCACCACTTGCACCTCTCGTGATGCGTAGGCTCCTCCCCTAAACTCTCCTCTAGCAGGCACCATCTGTCCACCAGCCTATCTTCGAATTCTCTATCCTGCAGCCATGTTGGGTCCAGGCTCCACCTCTCTTCCTGTCCTCCTGCTTTGGCCGCGCCTTCCTGTTTGATCCGTTTCTTGCGCGTCGCTCTTGCCCCACCTTGCAATCGTATTATGGCATCCACGGTGTAGTGGTCGCTCAGCTCCGTGTAGGTGGTGGCTGCGCCATCAACCTTGCCCGTGCTCGGCTCCATTGCTACCAGGATGTGGTCGATGCGGGACAACGACGAGAGGTTCCCGTGCTTGTAGTTCGGCCTTGTGAACGGGCCAGCTCTTTTCCCAATGGGGTAGCTTGTCCTGACCGCGTCCACATAGGACCCCAGGTCTTCTGCTTTGTCCCAATGGTGGCTGTGTGAGGAAGGCCCTTGTGTCCATTTGTCCACTTTTGGGTCGGGGTAGTCGTTCATGTCGCCCATCACCAGGGACATCGTTCCAGGTTGCGGCGGTATCTCCAGCTTTGTAAAGAAGGTCGCTCTCTCCTCGTCATTTGCCGGAGCGTAGATGCAGTTGACTCTAATCTTCAGATCCTGGTCTCGGACCAGCATAGTGAGCAGCCGGCCCCCGTACCTCTGGGTCACCTCGTCCACTCGGAGGTGCGCTCTCGTGAGGATAGCGCAGTGTTCACTGAAGAAGGTGCGGCCGCTCCAGCACATCTTCAGAGCTCTCTGCTCTTTGTCGTCCTTCAGTCGGTGATCCTGCAGCGCCAAAATATCCGCCTCGCATCCCTCCAGTAGCGTCCACAGCGCGCATCTCTTGGTTGGATTTGCCAATTTGCCCTTTAGTCCTTGAGCGTTCCAGGTCCGCATCACTAGGTCGTGTTTTCCAGTTCGGCGCATCGCCCTCTGGGCCATGTGGCCCTCTCTCCTATTTGCTGCGCCGCCCGCATCGCGTCCTGCCCCTGCTGCGCTGGCACTTCCCCGCGTCTGCTCTCCCAGCGCGCGTCCTCGCTCTTTCTTGCGCTGCCTGCCAGCACGCCGCCCCGTGCCGGGCTTTTCGGCCTCTACGTCGCGCGCCCCGTCACTGCTGTCCTCTCCTCTCGTGCCCCTCTCTTCCTCTCCACGCGTCTGCGCTTCCGACGCGCGTCCTCTCCTTCTCACGCGTCGCATACGCCTCTCTGCCTCCGCCCCCTCTGCATTTATGTTGTGCGTCCCGTCCCCGCCATCTTCTCTCCTCGCACTTCCATCTCCCCCTTCCCTTTGCCTACCCCTCGCAGTCTCGACTAGCCCTTCTCTTCTTTTTATCGCATCTGCCGTCAACATACCCGCCTCCTCCTCCTCACCAAAATCCGTCTCTTGCCTTGGTGAGTGCTCCTGCCATGCAGGCATCATTTCCGCATTTTGGGAGACGGGGAGCTTGCTCTCTCCGTACTACCTCCGGACGAGCTGGAGCTGGAGCTCCCAGTGCTCATCGATCTTTTTGTTACAGGCGTGGACGCCCGGGATGTTTGTGAGTGCCTGGGGCTGTTGGTCTCCCTCGGCTCTCGGCTTCTACCTCTGTGCGGTCGTATTGACCCCCCCTGATCCCTCTGTCTTCTTCCCAGGACCTGTCTCGACACGGCCTCCACACCATCCTGTTGGAGCTGTGACAGACTCAGGGCCCCGCCACCTTTCTTTGCCCATTCCCCCATCGGGAGCGGAGCATCACTTGGGGTTTCAAACCAGTCCCCTAGCGATGCGTCCTGTGGTCGGCCGGTGCCTCCCTTGTCCTTCTCCTCGGTCTCCCCCTTCCGCCGCTCGTCCTTTTCCGGATGGCCATGAGTCTCCCCAGGAGATTCTGCCCCCTGCTCCTGCTCATCCTCATCCATCGCCTCGGCTAACATTTCGTACCTATTCTGTGTTCTTTCAGCGCGCGTTGGGGCGCTTGTTGCGGTCTCCCTGTCTGGGTGAGTTCCTCTCATCGCCCTCGGTTCTGTTGGGGCTCCCGGTATCTCTGCCCGTCTTCCCGCCCCCTGGATCATCCATGTCCTCTCCTCCGCTCCCGGCCCCAGTCTGGGGTCCTGGTCCTCTCGCCGCCCTCGCTTGGCGCTGCCGGGCATCCATCCTCCATCCCCTCCGATCCTTTCCCCCTTGCACTGGATCGCCTTATGCCCTATTTTTCCGCATCTATCGCACTTCAGCTTAGGGCAGTCACGGATGGTGTGTCCCGTGGCCTTGTGCCATGCGCAATACTGGGTGTGCGGGTGCCACAGGTCCATCACGCTGTCCCCAATTTTTACATTTGCCGGGAGTTGGGCTTGTAGGAAGGTTCTCCTATCCCTCTGCGCGCCGTATCCCGGTACGTGCAGCAGCAGCATCACTTGGAACTTGCTCTTCCCGGTGTTCCACATCACCTCCCACGCGTGGATCACCTTTAGACCCGGGGCGCTCTGTGGAAGGTTTTCAATCACTTTTTCTGCCGACATTCCTGCTCCCCCCGCTCGGCCGGCGTAGAAATCAATGGTCGCTACCACCCGGTCCTCATCTACCAGTGACGGCCATTGGAGTTCTGCCATCTGCCCGTTCCAGTCCAGGCGGACTGTCCGCACTGCCCTGAGGTGGTCTGGGTCCTGCATCACCACTTCGAACGCGCTCCTGCCCTGTCGCGCTTCCCTCCTGCTGACCTCTGCTACTCCTCTCACTTCCGCAGGATGCCCGTTAACTTCGCAAGCAAAAGCTCTGTCAATGGCCTCCAGGAGTCTGCCCTTCTCCTGGGGCGTGACGAAAGGCACCGTCACCCTCACCGTATCCATCGGCAGGGAGCTGTGGCTCACCTTCTGGCTGGAACGGGCCGCCAGCAGGTCGGCAAAAGCTGTCGTGGCACCGCCCTGGTTGCCAGGCGCTCCTCCTGCTTCAATCAGCCGGAGGTAAGTGGTCTGGTCGAGGTGCTGATACCCCTTCCTGCTTGCGCCGCAAGAGGTTGCAGTCGTGCCCTCTACATGATGAAGAGACTGCCTCGTCCCTACTGATGCCACTGTGGCAAAACTCCTGCTAGCGGCTGCTCCGCACTGCGTGTTCGCTGCTGTTGCGGCCGTATGATCACGCTTCTCTGCTCTTTCTCCTGTCTGCGCAGATCCGCCCTCACCTTGCGGTGTCTGCCCAGCCGCCGCTTGGTCCTCTGCGCCCTTGCGCCCCGCCCTAGCCTCCGCCAAAGCTCGCCTTATCTCCTCCGGTGCCAGGATGCCGCGCATGATCCCTAGCACGTCGGGCGGCGGGGAGCTACTCGCGACGCTCCCGGCCTCCCTGCCTCGTGGCAATCGCGTTGCCGGCGCTGCCCGCGCGGCCGCAGCACCATCCTCGCTAATCTGGCCCTCCTCCATTTCGTCCCCGCTATCCGTCGTCATTTGGCCTTGAGCCCCTAATCCTGCGGTTGCCTTCGCAGTACTTACTTGCTTTGTCTCTCTCGCTCTCTCTCTTCCCATCTCCCCTAATAGATCCATCGCTGTTCGCGGCTGCCTCCTATCTTGTGCGATCGTCTCTCTCCCCTTGGTCAGGCGTCTGGGGTACGGGTTTGCGGCTTCCCTCCCTGTCAGGCCGTCCAGGGGTGAAGCGCCCAGCCCGCCGCCCGTTCTCGTGACTAGGCTCGAGCTCCTGACCCCTTTCCCTGCTGCCCCCTTTGGCGTGCCGGCCGTATCCTTCACTCCCTGGTTCGTCGCCCCCATGTCCGGTCCGTCCTGCGACACAGCCGGTCGCTTCTCCGTGCCTGCTTCAACGATCTTCCCAACGTCCTCACCCTGTGTGAAGCCTGGTGTGTGGGCGCGTGGTTCCCCAGGGCGGTCTGTGCTCTTGCCCGGGGTGTTGCCCCCGCCTTCTTCGCGGCTGTCGTCCATCGTCGGCCCTTCGGGGTCGCTACAGCTCGATGGTGCCGACAGGGTGGTTGGGAGGGCTGCACAGCTACTTTGCCCGCCCCTCCCGAAAGGTTCGTGATGTCTGTGATCTGTGTTGTGTACGTGAGTCTCCCTGTGTCGGAAAGCGATGCCGGGTGGAACGGCCCCTAGTGCAGATCTTGGTGGTAGTAGCAAATACTCTGGTGGGAACCTGGAAGGACTGAAGTGGAGAAAGGTTC